TTCATCTACACCAAGGTTGATAAATACTTCTTTCTCTTTGGTGGACATCGACCGGACAGGAGGGATCACACCAGACGGATTTTGAGTCCTCATAGGGCGGTGAACTTTATTTTTTGTTGATTTCTTTGAAGGTTTGGCATGTCTTGATGCACCTTTAAACCAGAAATTAATCCAGTCAGATATCTTCACATTCTGATCTCCTTTATACTTCTTGGAAAGTCTGTGGAAGGCCAAAAATAGGTATTGACAACTCAAAGGGATAGAATTTTGTTGTTGCCAGCTCTTGATAGTTCATCTGCACAAAGAATAACTTCATCATAAATTGTTCCTTGGTGAGGGAGACCACCTAGCATATATAGATCTCGAAGAGAAATTGATAGCTCGTCAATAGAACAATGAAGTGTATTAGTGGCTGGGCACCAACATTCAAGGAATGCTTTGAATACATCTTCATGACGATTATAGGAAAATAGGGAGGCGAATAAAGCACCATATAGTTGTTGTTTTGATAGAAGTCATGGAAACGCGCCAAGACATCTTCTAACCACTCCCAATATAGTTCGGTGTATAGCAATTCAGCAGGAAGTTTATAGGGAATACTCCATGATATTTCCTTCGCCTGAACATTAAGACCCAATAGTGAAAACTGGTTTTTTTCAACAACTCTCTCATGAAGTGAAAAATTTAGTATCAAGGCTTTAGAGACAATAGATTCTTCATTAATCTGATCAGGACCAAAGTCGGTGAGTTCGCATGTGGCCGTGCATGTCCAATGAGATGAACAATGTTTATTGTTAGAATCAGGCACTTGAATAGCATTGCGACCAAAAAGTGAGTCATATACACTTAATGTCGTTCCTTGGACTCGTTGACTATTTTCGCTCTCTAAGATAGTCAGCTTTTGCTTTGCGAAACACTTAAACACCACCATGATGGATAACAAAGCTCAAATCGGTATTGTCTAGAAGGAGGACTCAATTTCTGCTACGGTTGACACAAATCAAGTTGTTATACCCAATCAAACCCTGCAAAGAAAAAAAAAAAGGGGGTTAGAAAAAAAAAAAAAATTTTGCTCCAGTATGCTGCGTGGAGGAAAAAAAAAAAAAAAAAATTCCTACATGCGTGGAGAGAAAGAGAAAAAAAAAAAAAATTCCTATATGCGTGGAGAAAAAAAAAAAAAAATTTGTTCTCCTACATGCGTGAAAAAAAAAAAAAAGAAAAAAAAAAAAAGAAGAAGAAACACACGTACCAATTATTTGTGATCTGACAAGTCTTCAGAGATTTTTGGAATTGATATCAAACCCTACAATATTGAGGGTATATATAGGCAACCTTCAAGTTGTATTGGGATTTGGACAATTCAATTTAAATAGGAAAGTACAATTAAGATGACAAAAAAAAAAAAAAAAAAAAAAAAAAAAAAAAAAAAAAAAAAAAAAAAGGAAACTTCAAGTCCCACTTGGAAAAAGAGACAAGTCTTATCAAAATTGGGACTTGAAGTGGGGGCAATTTGTAGACACTAAAATTTAGTAGGCTTTGGTTTTAATGAATGGACCCATTAAATATAGTCCTAATGTTTAAATAAATTATTTAATTTACTAGGCTTGGTCCACTTAAATTATTTAATTAGCCCAGCCCAGATAATTAAATGAAACGATAATTATTCCTAATAAAATATATTTTGAATAATTATCTTTAAGGATAATTATCACAATATAACCGGCCCGGCCCAGTTATAGTTTTATCTTTATCAGGAGATGACACGTGTCATCATCCTATTAATCCAAGAAGCCTATAAATAGAGGCCTGGAGGAAGAAAAACAAGGAGAGGATTCAGAATTTAGAAGTCTACAAATTCAGACATAAATTCAGAATTCAGAACTCTCAGAAATCCACCAATAACGTGCCGTGCCGTTCTTCCACAGTGATTCAAGAACAAGCTCGTGCAGCCTTTGGATCCAACCAACCAAAAACAAGGAGATCGACTGTACTTCACATTCATAAATTAATAAAATTCTATTTTACTCCATATTTTGTTTCTATTGCAGACTTACAAAATTTGTGTGTACAGTCCATAATGAATTTCTATTAAGTTTTTATATCAGCTAATAATCTACGGGTTTTTTTTTTTTTTTTGTGTGTGAATTATGATCATGTCATGTTTCCAATCTTGTGCAACGCAACTTTTCAAAACCTGTAAACAAGAACTTTTGTCACACATATAACTAAATTAAAATAAAAAAAAGAAGGAAGAATAATGTTTGTTCCAAAATTCGGCTAGATCAGAGACAATAATGTAATATTCATTAATTATTTTCTAGTTCTTAGTTTGAGAGAAACCGTGTTTTTCAAAGGTGAATAGGTTTTTTTTTTTTTTTTTTTTTTTTTTTTTTTTTTTTTTTGGGTATTTACCTTTTATTATTGTTATAATTAGTAGCATTGTTAAATATTAAATTTGAAAACTACAAATAAGAATAGTAGTTTTGTATTAAAAGAAAATTATACAAGTAGGTTTTGAATGTGACAGTTAAATTAAATCTAATGACTATTATAAAAAGTGTTGATAAATTTTCTTACTCTACAAAAAATAAGAGATCAGTATTATATATATTTATATTTAAGAGATCATTACTATATATATTTATATTTAAATAATACTGCATATCTATTTGGTCCCTTTCTAACCGATGCACACGGAGACAATGGGTGGAACTCGTGAACAAATCAAAGATTTTTTTGCATTTTTTTAGGATTGCCAAGGACGGTTGCTTGAGCGAATGCCCATTTACAATGACTGTTTTGATTTTCACACCTGCATTTTTCCGTTTTCTTTTGATGATTTACACACACACACACACACTTTAAATGTGAGTTTTTATGACTGTAAGTGTTAATTGAAGTAAAATTATGGAATGCAATTTAAGTTAAAATAAAATTGTAAAATTTGAGGTTTTGTGAATTTGTGGAAGATTGCAATCCATTCACAATATCTATATATAAACAAAGAAAAGAAAGAATGAAAAAAAAAAAGAAAAAAAAAAGAAGAAAAAAAAAGGAAAGAAAATAATCTATTCAAGTAAGTTATTATTATTATTTTTTCCCTTTCAAAGTGACTATTGTGAAAGGATAATGATATCTATAAATGAAGATAGTCAAAAATCTATTACTTCACTAAGTCAACGTGGGTGTCAAATATAATGGGATCTATTTTCAAATGGAAGATAATTAACTATTTGAAAAGTTGTATTATTTTTTTTAGGTTTCATCATAATCTAGTATCTTTGTTGGACTCTTTAAATACATCAGATTGCATCGCCTATGTATAATTAGATTGTGTATCCATTGTTGTGTCTTTGACCATTAATATCAATCTATTACTTTAATAGGCATTTGATAATTGCTATAATGATTAAAATTAATGATATATATGACATTTAGAAAAAAAAGAAAAAAAAAGATAAATTTTTTAAAAAAATATTGCAAAGCATTGAAAAATTATAAACATTGCCAGTTTTTGTTTTAGATTTTGTACAAATTAAATTATTATATTTGAGTACCCATGAAACTTGCTGTGAAAAAAATAAATAAATAAAAAATTGCAAAGCATTGAAAAATTATAAAACATTGCCAATTTTTGTTTTAAATTTTGTAAAAATTAAATTATTATATTTGAGTACCCATGAAACTTGCTGAAAAAAAAATATATAAAATAAAAATAAAGTAGAAGAAGAAGAAGAAGAAGCTAAATATTGTAAACTAAAAAGATAAAAAAAGGGACTATAAAAAACTAAAAAGATAAGGAAAGAGAAATAAACGTATTTTATAGAAACATGCAAGAGTAGCAATAATGTATATTTAAGTTGAAATTTTAGAATAACCTTCTCATATTTTATATATGACAATTTTAAATCGGGTATTAAGGTTGTCAATAATATCATTTTCCAAACAAAGAAAAAAAGAAAAAAAAAAAAGAAAAGAAAAGGGAAGAATAGATGGATTCGTCACTTTGAAAGGAAAAAAAAAAAAATTGATTGTTGCAGTGAATTGTTAAACTTATTATTTTTAATTGGTCATTTATGCAACAAATAAAGAAATGTGTCTTCATTTACTTATATTTAGCATAAATAACCAATCAAAAATTATTCGCCCTCTTCCACAAATTCACAAAATCTCAGATTATAAATTTTATTATAACTTAAATTACATTCCATAATTTTACTTCAATTAACACTTGCCGTCATAAAAACTCACATTTAAAGTGTGTGTGTGTATATATATAATATACACACATACATGCATGCGTGAAAAGAAAGAGGTAGAACTTTGAAGGGTAATTATGTTTTAAAATTGGTAAGGTTTTTTACTTTCTTAAAAATAGAAACACTATATTAATTACAGCCGCAATGAATGGTATTTCAACCAATCAAAAAATGATCGTAAACTGTCCTTAGCAATTATATATATATATATATATATATATATATATTTATGCTGACAGATTAAGAGAACTTAGGAGTGTGAATTCAAAAGCAAAAACATTTGTTCGAAGTATTTTTACTGTCGTTAAGAAGTATAATTCTTCTCAACAAGTATTTTTATTCTAATTTTTATTATTTATGACTTAATTATATCGTTCTGGAATTTACTCTCCCTCGTACCCCCTTAATACTACAGTACTACTTGAGTTGGAAGGCCAGGCGTAATAGCTCTCCCAATCATACTACTGAATAACGCCCAACCAACCAAAGGTATTATCGAACCAACCTTTACTGTCGTTGTATATTTATGAATGAAAGTGGTCAAAGTTAATAATCACAGGAATGAAACATCCTTCAATTTGCATACTATAATAAACAATATTTTAAAAAAATTTATGTCACACTAAAACTTAAATACTACTCCTACAATATATATTTTCTTCTTTCATTATCAAATATCTCTCTCTGATAAGATATTAGATATAGCGCCGTCTTGACCCATTCAAAAACAAATTCAAATAATGCAGACAGAATGATTAAGAGGGTAGTGAGGTGGGGCTATTGAAATCATGAACGCTCTTCTGTCATTTCTTTTATATTAAATTGCTTTGCTTTGAACAGTCTCGAAGACGACCACTCCAAATCAATCCAATACAAAATTCAACGTTTCATTAAATTCACTCCGTATAACCCTATATATATATATATATATTAATCATAGTTGTAGTTTTCAAACACAACAATTCGTGACAGGTCGGTCATAATTCATTCTACATGATCAAAGGCCTCATTCGCATACATATATATGTGCATGTACAGATATAGATTGACATAAAGATCCTTGCAAATCTCAAAATCCTTTTCAAATTCTTCTTCATCGTCTCGTGATCCGAAATTGTTAATGAAACCATTCGTTCATTTGCTTTTATCAGAACACGCCTCTTTGGTTTCCGTTTTTGTTGTTTTCGTACACCGCAGAGATTTCAAATCTTGAGGTCTCGAAATTGGGTTCTGTTGCGGAGAAGTGGAATTTTCGATTGAATCGAGGGTCTTTTCGATCTCAATTTATGTGGCATTTATTGATCTTTGAGGCGAAGTTGTGGATCTTGTGGGAGTTGTATATATAAGTGTAGAATCCATTGAATTGATTATTTCAAAGCCAATATAGACCCAAATTAAGGTTTTTGTGCCATCATTTTGTAGTTTGATGCAAAGAGGAGGTGTTTTTTTGCTGTTTAATTCTGGGTTTTTAGGTTTGGAATATGGGTTGGTGGTGTTTACCTGGTAAGCTTGGAGGATCAATTTGTTGACTTAGTGAGACCTTGAGGTATGTATGTTTCTGTAGTCTTTACAGGAACTGTAGATTTTTATTATTTCTTTTTTGTTTCTTTGCTTTTGGAAAGTACGAACTAAGAACACACCCCAACTTGAAGTTTGAAGTTTTTTTATTCAATAAGTAATTTGTTAGAGGAAACAAATCTGCCAAAGTCGAGTACTGGGTTTTTTTTTTCAGATTTCTGATTGTATGTGTGTGCATGTATAATGTATATGTGTACTACAATTGTTGAAGCATATATATATATATTTTTTTGAAAGGTTGAAGCATATATATTACTCCTCAATTAACAAAATATTGGGTTTACTCATACTGAAGTGGTGCTGAATTGTGATTCTGCTGAGAAGATTGGAAAACCTGAAATTGATTGAAGCTGTTTTGAGTATAATCAAATTGGATTAGTTCTATGGATTGCAGTTGATGTTCGGCTTATTTTGCGAGGCACGGTGTTTGGAGTTATTTACCATTTAGTTTATTCGTGTTATCAAAATGGGCTCTCAGTGCTCCAAACTCACACCATGTTGCTTGGTTTCACAATACAAGGCATCCATTCTTGAGGTGCCTGATATTGGTAGGTTGAAGTACTATCTGATGCGTCCTTTTGTAAAACCGAGAATTAGGATGAGATGTGATTGTGTTTTTGCTGCAGAAAATGAAGAGAAGACTGAGACCAATAACTTGCCTGCATTCCGTGAGTTTGCTCTCGAGGAACTTAAGAATGCTACTTCTGGTTTTGCGGTAGAGAACATTGTGTCCGAGCATGGTGAGAAGGCTCCCAATGTTGTTTATAAAGGGAAGATGGATAATCAGAGGAGGATTGCTGTGAAGCGCTTTAATAGAAATGCTTGGCCTGATGCCCATCAATTCGTGGTAAATGCATCTTTCCCACTTATTCAGAACTCTTGCATGAGCATGCGAACATCCAAATTCACATTGCAGTCTCTGTTATGATTATGCTTTACCTATGCAATGGATGCATTTACACATGGGTTTAATTTGGGGCCTTTTAGGCCATGGATGATGTCTGTTTGTTAACTCTTTCTTCTCATTGACTGCATATGCTACCAACCATGTTACATTTTCTAATTGCGAACAAGAAGGTTATTTCAGTAATCTTTTTACTTTCAACATTCACCCAGATTTTTTCATTCAAGCTCTTAATTTTTTTTACCACTGCTTGTATCATGTGAGGTTGATCCTCTTCAATCATTCTCTTACTGTTTAAGTAAACTATAAATCTTTATTGTTTCTTACACTTGCCAAATGAAAAGAAAAATATCTATAATGTTTATTAAGCCATTTCCACCTTGACATATTATTTTGTTTTATGTTTGTTCAACGTACAAATATAACACTTGCTTTGGATTGGGGGTCCTGTAGGAAGGATAGGAGAAGGGGAAATCCAATAGTTTACTTGGATATGAACAGAACAGTAAAAGGGAGGATATGACGAGGTTCTAACCCCTCAGAAGGATAAGAGAGTTACTGATCTCTTATTTTTTCCCCCAAATTTATAATAGTAAACGAGTTTCTGGTTTTCCCTTCCACTCATATATTTGAACATTCAATTCCTTTCTATTCTATGCATTCCTTGAGATAACTTATATATCTAATGACAGACATCAATATTTCTTTACCTGTCTGACTCTCCCTTGAGGTATCAGTTTGTATGTTGGCCATTTTCATGTGTACAACATCCAACTGCTTTTGAGATCATCTCAAATTTTTAGGTCATTCTTGACTATAACTTGCAAAATTTTCCTCTGCTAATTTTAGGAAGAAGCGAGGTCAGTTGGACAGCTCCGCAACCAAAGATTGGTAAATTTGCTTGGTTGCTGTTGTGGAGATGATGAGAGACTGCTTGTGGCTGAATATATGCCCAACGATACACTTGCAAAACACCTTTTTCACTGTAAGTTTATTAGTTGATGCAAAACTGTAATTTGACTTTAAATGTTTCTTCAGCATGCATGGTGCACACACGTACACACGCACACATATATATATATGAATATATTTTGTGATTATTATAATTAAACCATATTTTTGCGTGACATAATCACTTCCATTTATTATGCTTTTCTGCTTGTTGATACTTGTCCTTCATAAGACCATTTCTTAATATAAGTTTTTACATGGCCAGTAGCTATGTTTCTGTCCACCATATTGCATTTGTTTATCCGCTGATGATAATTTGGTTATTTTCTTGATTCAGGGGAAACACAACCTATAAAGTGGCCAATGCGATTGAGGGTGGTTCTGCATCTAGCACAAGCTCTAGAATATTGTTCAAACAAAGGTCGTGCCCTTTATCACGATCTTAATGCTTACAGAATTTTATTTGATGAGGTAAATTTTCATTAATATGACTCCATTTTTCAATTAGATTCTGTATGCATTTCTCGATATATGTATTGGAATTTTGCAGGATGGTCATCCTAGACTTTCATGCTTTGGCCTGATGAAAAATAGTCGGGATGGAAAAAGTTACAGTACAAACCTGGCATTCACTCCTCCGGAGTATTTGAAAACCGGTATGTATTGATTTGTAAAATATTTGTATACCGAAGACATGCTCTTTTTAGGTTTTTAATTATGTTGTCTCTGTGAATCTCTCTGAATTACCCTAATCATCACCCTAAATTGTTGCCTTTAGAATTTTTTTTTTTTTATTTAGTGGGTTTCCTTCTCTGCGTGTGTGTGTGTTTGGGGTGGATTATAAAGGGGGGTGAGGTGATTTTTTCCCTCTCAATCTATTTCCCTGTTAACTTGTTTTCATCAGATATAATGTTAATGGTTTTTAATATAATGGTAACCAAACCCAGTTTCTAGAGTTAAGAGTAGATTCTCAAGAAGACAGTCATGGTTTTTCATTTATTTTTGGTTTGGGCTCTGCACATTGCTTTTTGTTAAATTTGCTCCTCATGCTTATCCTCTTTTTGTAGGAAGAGTGACGTCAGAAAGTGTAATATATAGCTTTGGCACTCTTTTGATCGACCTTCTTAGTGGAAAACACATTCCCCCAGGCCACGTATGTATTTATCTCTTTCCTGGTAACTTCCAAATGAAAACAACTTACATTTGCTCTGCAATATTTTTAATTTTCTTATAATAGTGGCATGAACATTCAATTTAGTGCACCTCCAACATTTTTACATGTATTTTTTTGGTTCTTCTTTCTCTAGTATATTTTCATAATTGTACACACATATAGAATCTATGATGATATATTGCTTATTTGTGTATGCATTACTGTAATTACTATATTAACTTCAAAAGTGCTCACTCTTCAGTATCGGAAGTTTTCAGGGGATGAATTTTACTTTCAGCGTACATATTCTTATATAATTTTCCGGTGTTTAGGCTTCCGAAGTAATTTAATCCTTCTGTTGCCTTTTCAAAGTTTTTAAATGCATAGTGTCAATGGTTAGATTTGCCTCCAGTCGCTGCCTCCTAGCACCTATGTAGACTGGACACACACTGGGTAGTGTTATTATATATGTTTAGATTGAAAGCCATTATCACTACAATAAAATAAGCACCAGATTAACCCCCTGATGTTCTCTTATTCTTAATGAAGTATTAAGAAAAGTAGATGGGCTACTCTAAATTACATTGTAAACACAACAGTCATTGCAAATGCTATATAAACACCATGAATTAATCTAGTTCCATTGGATGTAAAAAACACACGAACAATTAAGGGCACTGTAGCATAGTGAAACATACTCTCAATCTAGTGTTCATTACTTATTTAAATTTGATAAATGTATTTAAATTTGATAAATGTATTCAACTATTTTTATTTCGTCAGCTTAAATTATCATTAACTATAATTGATTATCTAATGCTCTGGTACTTGTGTCAGGCCCTTGACCTGATACGGGACAGGAACCTTCAAATGCTGACGGATTCCTGCTTGGAAGGACAGATTTCTAGTGATGATGGGACTGAATTAGTACGCTTGGCTTCCCGGTGTTTGCAATATGAACCCCGAGAACGGCCAAATCCAAAGTCATTAGTGGCTGCTTTGACTCCTCTTCAGAAGGAAACTGAGGTCAGTTAAATCTAAAGTCATTAATTTGATTAGCCTCCAAACTGGGTAAACTTGTCTCCTTTTGAGAATAAGAACTTCCACTGCTTTGTTTCCTCTTTACCAATATTGAAGGAAAACTGGCTTTCATGTTTGTCCTTCATCCTTCATCAACAGCATCTATTATATTACATGGACTCTTCTAAGCGACATTATTGAATGACCTTGTGTCCACATAAATAGATGACGATAATTAGCAGATTTTCTACAACATGATTGAATGACCTTTGCAGTGAGGCAAGTGGTATTTCCAACAGAAGATATTTCCAGTTTTTGCAGAAGTTTGGTAATACTTTGTGTGGTATAACCATGACATCTACTTTAAGTAAGGAATTTTGGTAATTCTAAACTGAGCATAAGGACAACTAGTCACCATAAAGTAACAGATCATTTCATCTACAAAATTTAGGAACAATCAATGATTGTACCTTGGCAACAGAGGATAAGCAAGTTAGAATTTTAGTCTCAATTTGTGTTATAGAACTTCATTTTAGATTAAAGAATAATACGAAGGAATTGAGTGACAGATGATTAGTATATTTTTACTGGTTAGAAAATAGAGCCAAAAGGAAAAAATCAGGAACGAGAGTGTTGATGTCCGTGTGCCTCTTCTCTCTTCTTTAACTAATGTGTGGTAGGGAGGTCACCTGATCTTGTTGGGACAAGTGTTGACTGAAAATGAAAAACAGAGTGACAAAGAGGAGGTTGTTAGTTAATTACATGTGATTTTGTTGTAACAAGAACTCGCTAAATCAGAAATGACTTTATGATGTATAAATTTTTGTTTATTTTTACCGCTATTTCTTTTGACTTTACCATTTGCCAACGACTTGTCATTGGCTTCTGCTTTAAAATGCTATCTGATATGATGCTCAAAACAAAAGTCTCAATGCCTATTTTAATGGTTAGATTTAGTTTTTTTATGAATTTTTTATTTCCACTGTGCAGGTTCCTTCTCATGTCTTGATGGGTATTCTGCGCAGTGCTTCGTTCTCACCTAAATCCCCACTTGGTGAAGCTTGCTCAAGAATGGACTTGACTGCCATACATGAGATCTTAGAAAAGATTGGGTACAAGGATGACGAAGGAGTGACAAATGAGGTTCTTTTACTCATCATATCAGCTTTTACTATTGCACCAAGTGACGGCGCCTACACTTTCTATTTGTCATCTGTCTCACTGTCGCTTTTCTACATTGCAGCTCTCATTCCAAATGTGGACGGACCAAATGCAGGACACATTGACTTCAAAGAAAAAGGGTGATACTGCTTTCCGGCATAAAGATTTCAAAACTGCAATTGAGTGCTACACGCAGGTTATTATCATTTTACAAATGGTTACAACAAATACATGCTTTATAACACTTGAAATACTCAGCGTCTAGATTTATATTTATGTATGTGTTACTGTACAGGTTTTCTTTGAGAACTGAATAAAAACTTTGTGACATGTTCTCTACCTGACATGATATGACTTTTCACAAAGTTATGTTGTCAGTTGATGGGATAACAAAAACACAAACAAGCAAATCCCTTTTCCCAGCTGATTGGATAAATGGGTCATATTCTTGGATTTCAATCTGAATTTAGAGTATATTCCCCTTAGAGTCAAATGTTAGACTCTTCTGACTTTCTTGGATTCAATTTTGTTCGAGTTACTGACAGTTTCTTATTTCACTTGTAGTTTATTGATGTTGGAACGATGGTATCTCCGACCGTTTTTGCTCGTCGTAGTTTGTCTTATCTCATGAATGACATGCCGCAAGATGCCCTAAATGATGCAATGCAAGCCCAAGTCATTTCTCCAGTCTGGCACATTGCATCTTACCTACAAGCTGCTGCACTTTTTGCCCTTAAAATGGAAAATGAAGCACAAGTAGCACTTAAGGAGGGCTCAACTCTTGAGGCCAAAAGGAACAAAACCAACGGACAGTAACCAACAGTAACCAAGTGAAGTACAGATATCTAATCTCCTTCAATTTCCTCGTTGATTTGAGCATATATTGAAAGGTTTCTGATCATGCCAGATAGCCGGAAGCTTCTAGAGTTGCCCCTTTTTCTTTCTGCTATGAATTCTATGATAGTGTTATAGGTTTGATGCATTTTTTGAGCAAGCGAATCCTGTTTGGTTGTGTTTTGTTTTGTTATGTTATGTTTCATATCAATTTTTGTGTGGGGGTTGTTTGATCTCTCAATTTTAGTCTTTTTGAAGTTTGATCAGTTGTGCATGAAAAAAGAGTAGTAACTTCCAAATATGAGTAAACAGAAAGGAAAGAAAAGTCTAATGGAAGTAAAGAACTTGTTGACTTTTGATATATGTACTTTCTGTGCAAAAAAACCGTCTGGTTTTCTCGTACTAATATGCTATTTAATGTTGTATACATTCAACTATTATTTGTCCTTGTTCAACACAACCATGACTGCGACCCCTAACAATACAAATAATGGTGATGTACAACTAGTGCTAACATTTAAAATTACAAATAAAAAGCATATAATTGTTGGCAAAATTAATTTACTTTTTAAACTTTTCGTTTATAAATAAAATTAAATGCGGTATATTAACAGTTCTCACAAAGGCATTCATTTTTGTCAGTTTTGAGTGACGTAAAGGAAAGAAACTCATCAAATTAACAACTATTAGAAAATTTTGAAATCCTGTTATAAAATTAAATTAACTTCATAAAAAAAATTAATAATAATTACTTGACCAACTGCACAGAGATCACATTCTCGATAATAATCAAGTTAAAATTTTGACCAAGGTTTGAAAGGAAATAATACCAATCAAAGGAAAAATTTATTGACAAAGTAATGAAGTATTTACACCATTCATATTAGCACCATGTTAGACTTCAAATAAAATTAGTGTTATATATAGTGTGTGAAAGTGTGATATTAACGCTCAGGGTGATAAATTGACAGTGTCTCACATCTGCCTGCGTTTACCATTCATATAGATCATTCCTTAAGAATCCTCGTTGGCACACTTTAATATTACTAGGAAGAGGCACGTGCGATGTACGTGATTAATGTTTTGTAACTTATTTTATTATTTGATAAATTATTTTACTAAACAATTACCTATTTTATAGTTGTTTTAATAATGATTTGAAACTCTTTTATTTTAATTTATTTTATTTATAGAACCTCTTTTATTTTAATTCATTTTATATCAATTAATAAATAAATACTGAAATATTAAAAGGAAATAAAATAGCTAATTTGTGATAGAGTTTTATAAAGTGTTTTTTATATTAATAATTCTTGTCTAATTAGATTTCCCGTTATTTAAAAAGTCATAATAAAAGCTAATTTGTGGTAGAGTTTTAGAAAAATTATTTAATTTTTTATATTAATAATTATTATCTAATTAAATTTCAATATTTTATATTAATAATTATTATCTAATTAATAAATATTTTTTCATTTTTTATAAATAGGTAATTTGTGTTAGAGTTTTATAGAAACTCTTAAAAGTACTATTTTTATATCAATTAATAATTTTTTTTATATTAATAATTTTTGGCTAATTAGAAAAAAAATTTCTTAAAAAACTCATAATAAATAGATAAATTGGTCATTTGTGTTAGAGTTTTATAAAAACTCTTTAAACACATCCTTATCTAATGTGATAGAGTTTTATTAAAAATAAAATAGATAATTTGTTTTAGAGTTTTATAAAAAATATTTTATTTTCTTTAAATATAGGGATAATTTCACTGACACCCCCAGTAGTTTGGTCAAATATCAGTCTAAAATATCTTTTGAAAATAACTATCACTCACATTACAAACGTTTGTTCTATTTTTCACTCACACCCCAAAAGTTAGTTGACAGGTGTGTCAGACCACTTTTTACATGTAAAAAGACATTCTTACCCTTTGACTTTGGTTTGGCCTAATAAATTGTTTCTTTAATGATTAAAATTACATGTTTACCCTCATTTGACTTTAGATTGACTATTCAAATGACATGGTTACCCTTCCTTTTCCATATACAAGAATAAATAAAGTAGGTGATCAACATCATACAGTTTGCTATTGAGGGCTATTATACGCCTATACAGGTGTAAGGTTCTATATTTTTTTAAGGAAATTAATGAAATTTTAAGTAAGAAAATTTTATTTTTTTAAGAAAATTAATGAAATTTAAAAAGAGAAAGAGAAAAATAAAAAAAAAAATTTAAAAACTAAAATAAGAAAAATCACTCATTCATATATTTTTTAAAAAATAAATAATGAAATTTTAATGAAATTTTAAGTAAGAAATTTTAAAAAATAATGAAAAATTAAGTAAGAAAATTTTATTTTTGTAAGGAAATTAATGAAATTTAAAAAGAGAGAGAGAAAAATAAAAAAAAAAATTAAAAACTAAAATAAGAAAAATCACCCATTAATATTTTTTTTAATAAGAAAATTTTATTTTTTTAAGAAATTAATGAAATTTAAAAAAAGAAAAAGAAAAATAAGAAATTTTTTATAAGTGTCCGGTTCTACGATCAATCACCCATTCATATATTCCATCATTTCATATATATATATATATATATATATAGGCTTGTCCTCATATTTTTTGGACAACAAAAACTCCTTTTTATTATTTAGCATGTGAATTGAAGTCTATTTCTATCATTTTATATTTATATTTATATATATATATTTTCTTCATCTGTCTAATTCATCTTCGTTTCTCCCTCTCTCTCTCGATCATACACAACATATACACTTTCTATACATAACTTATTGGTGCCCTAAACCATAAACTCCAATACTAAATTCCCAAATCAATCTATAAATACCCTGATTAATAAATTGAAAGAAATAATTAATGGAGTTGGTTTCCCCAAAATTGATTCATTACCAAAAAAAAAAAATTATAATAATAATACAAAAATTCATATTCAATAAACCATATGTAATCAGCTCTCGCCGGAGGTGAAGCACTATGCGTTCGCAGGCCAGGTTCGGGGAAAAAGTGGGTGACGATTGCCAGAATTTCAACAACGATTGCATGGATCAAGAGTTACTGGAACTCTTCAAATTAAATTACTCCTTATATAGCTTTATTGCTTCTTATATATATATATATATATATATATATATATATATATATATATATCTATATAAATACATCGTGTCCTCTCCTCCCTCATACCACCATGCCGCTAAGCTCCATAAACAAAACCAAAGCAGAGTCTTTAGACTTTAGCCAGAAACTCTCTCTCTCTCTCTAATGATGGTGTTAGCGAGTCGGAGCTAATTAATCAACCGTTTGATTTACAATCCTGTTCGATTCATGTCTTTTTCAACTGATAATGGAGATCAATCGAAAAAATCCATTTCCAAATCAAGGTTTGAAAATCTCATCCGTCAATACACACTACCTTTAATTGATACCATGCGTGGTCTCAATCTCAGAAACCGACCACCCAAGTCCACGCTTTAAGCCCCCCAGATACCTCCGCTGCTGGTAGTACCACCGCCAGTGGCTGCGCTGGCAAGTTCAACCACCACCACCTTCGGCAAGGCAACCTGACTATTAATTCCATTTTATCGAATTCTAATTATACCAATTCAGTGTCAATGGCTGAACCTCTTCTTCCTTATTGACTCCCCATAACTGACCTTCTTGAGCCACCCATAGATCCTCACCTCAAATCCGTTGATTTTGTGGAAAATCTAGCTGACCTCTATCGCCGTCTTGTGGGTTGTCCTGTATCCAGTAAATCATTGATGTGCCTAGAGTAGTACTCGAACTTGTGCAGCCATGGTGATCCAAAGCTGCTACAGTTAATCTTTATGCTTTAGGGTTTCATAGTTTTGTTAATCTGTGGGTCGCATCTATAGAGAAGAGAGAGAGTGGTTTTGATCTATAGAGAAGAAAGAGAGACAAACAAGCCTCCTTGAGGAGAGAGAACGTCCGATACAGATAGAGATATAAGGGGTATAAAAGTCATTTATCTTATTTGATATTTTGTATTAAATGTGATTAAAAAATTAGGGGCAAATATGTCTTTTCCCATGTTTTTAACGGAGACAGTAACGGAAAAGTGAAAATGGACCTAAGTGATAGTTATTTTTGAAAGATATTTTAGACTGATATTTAGTTAAACTACTGTGGGTGTCAGTGAAATTATCCCTTAAATATACCATTGTCTAATTATATTTTCTTTTATTAAAAAACTCATAATAAAAGGTAATTTGAGGTAGAATTTTAGAGAAATTATTTTATTTTTTATCAATTAATAAATATTTTTTATATAAATAATTATTGTCTAATTACATTTTTTTTTATTAAAAAACTAATAATAAATAAATAAATAGGCAATTTGTGTTAGAGTTTTATAGAAACTCTTTTAAAAAAATATTTTATTTTTTTAAATATATCCTTGTCAAATTATATTTTCTTTTATTAAAAAACTCATAATAAGTAGATAAATATAGGTTATATGTGATAAAGTTTTAATGAAAATAAAATAGGTAATTTGTTGTACAGTTTTATAGAAATTATTTTATTTTTTTTAAAACATGTTCATAATAAATATGTTATATGTGATAAAGTTTTAGAAAAATTATTTTACTTTTTATATCAATTAATAAATATTTTTTATATTAATAATTATTGTCTAATTATATTTTCTTTTATTAAAAAACTCATAATAAATTGATAGATTGAAAATTTGTGGTAAAGTTTTATAGAAACTTTTTTAAAATCTCTTTCTATATCAATTAATAAATATTTTTTATACTAATAATTTTCGTCTAATTATATTTTCTTTCATTAAAAAACTCATAATAAATAGATAAATAGGTAATTTGTGTTAGAGTTTTTTGAAACTCGTTAAATATATCATTGTCTAATATATTAGAGTTTTATTAAAACTAAAATAAGTAATTTGTGGTACAATTTTATAAAAAAATATTTTATTTTCTTTAAATATATCGTTGTCTAATTAGATTTTTTTATTTATTAAAAAACACATAATAAAAGGTAATTTGTGGTAGAGTTTTAGAGAAATTGTTTAATTTTTTATATCAATTCATAAATATTTTTTATATTTACTATGCTTGTCCAATTAGATTTTCTTTTATTAAAAAATTCATAATAAATGGATAAATAGGGAATTTGTGTTAGAGTTTTATGGAAACTTGTTAAAAATTATTTTATTTTTTTTAAATATATATTGTATAATTAGATTTTTTTTTTTTAAAAAAAACTCTTAATATATAAATAAACACATGTAACATATGATAGAGTTTTAAAGAAAATAATATAGGTAATTTGAGGTGAACTTTTGTAGTAATTATTTTATTTTCTTTAAATATATCCATAACAAATATATAAATACAGGTTATATATGATAAAGTTTTATAGAAAATAACATAACTAATTTGTAGGAGAGTTTTATAGAAATTATTTTATTTTTTTCAAATATGTTATTGTTTAATTAGATTTTATTTTATTAAAAAACTCGTAATAAATAGATAATGTCATATAATTTTATAGAAAATAATTTGTGCAGAATTTATGGAAATTTTTGTATTTTCTTTAAATATATTTTTGTCTAATTAGATTTTTTTTTTATTAAAAAAAACTCATAATAAATAGATTATTAGGTAAAATGTGATAGAGTTTTATAGAAACTCTTTTAAAAACTCTTTTATATCAATTAATAAATATTTTTTTATATTAAAAATTATTTACTAATTTGATTTTCTTTTATTAAAAATTAATAATAAAAGGTAATTTGTGTTAGAGTTTTAGTAAAATTATTTTATTTTTTATATTAATTAATAAATATTTTTTATATTAATAATTCTTTTCTAATTAGATTTTCTTTCATTAAGAAACTCATAATAAGTAGATAAAAGATAATTTGTGTTAGAGTTTTATAGAAACTCTTTAAATATATCATTGTATAATGTGATAGAGTTTATTGGAAATAAAATAGCTAATTTGTGGTACAGTTTTATATAAATTATTTTATTTCTTTAAATATATCCTAGTCTATTTAGATTTCCTTTTATTAAAAACTCATAATAAAAGGTAATTTGTGGTAGAGTATTAGAGAAATTATATTATTTTTTATATCAATTAATAAATATTTTTTATATTAGTATTTTGAAATAAATTTGCAAATAATTTCAATTTTATTAGGGTTTCTTTTTTCGAATTTTATTATGTAATTTGAAATAATTTTTTAGGTTATTTGAATTTTTTTTAGGTAAATTGGAATTTGAATTTTATGAAAACTCTTTTATAAAAGTATTAGGTAATTTGTATTTTGAATTTTATTACGTAATTTGAAATGATTTTTTAGGTAATATGAATTTTATTAGGTAATAGTTTTTTTTCAATTAATAAATACATTTTTTTATATTATTGAATAAATACTGAAACACATATTTGAATTTTATTAGGAAATAATTTCTGGTAGAGTTTTAGAAAAATTATTTTATTTTTAATATCAATTAATAAATATTTTTTTTATTAATAATTCTTGTGAAATTAGATTTTCTTTTATTAAAACCTTCATAATAAATAGATAAATAGGTAATTTGTTTTAAAAATTTTATAGAAACACTTTTAAAAAGTTTTTTTTTATTTTCTTTAAATTTATCCTTATCTAATTAGATTTTCTTTTACTAAAAAAATCATAAAAAATAGATAAATACAGGTCATATGTTATAAAGTTTTAAAGAAAATAAAATATATAATTTGTAGTGGAGGTTTATATAAATTATCTTATTTTCTTTAAATATATTCATAATAAATAGGTAAATACATGTCATATGTGATAGAGTTTTATAAATCATAAAATTGTTAATTTGAGGTAAAGTTTTATAGAAATTATTTTATTTTCTTTAAATATATTTATGTCAAATTAGATTTTATTTTATTATAAAACTCATAATAATTTTTTTTCCTGAATAAACTCATAATAAATAGATATTGTGATAGAGTTTTGCAGAAAATAAAATTGCTAATTTGTGGTAAATTTTGTAGAAACTATTTTATTTTTTTTAAATAAATTATTTTCTAATTAGATTTTCTTTTATTAAAAACTCATAATAAATAGATAAATAGGTAATATGTGTTAGAGTTTTATAGAAACTCTTAAAATTTTTTTTTTATATCAATTAATAAATATTTTTTTATATTTATAATTCTTGTCTAATTAGATTTTCTTTTTTATTAAAAACTCATAAATTTATAAATAGGTAATTTGTGTTAGAGTTTTATAGAAACTCTTTTAATATCACTTTTTATATCAATTAATAAATATTTTTATATATATATAGTTTTTGTTTAAATAGATTTCCTTTCATTAAAAAACTAATAATAAATAGATAAATATGTAATTTGTGTTAGAGTTTTATATAAACTCTTTAAATATATCATTGTTTAATTTTAATTATGTGATAAAGTTTTATTGAAAATAAAATAGGTAATTTGTGATAGAATTTTATATAAATTATTTTATTTTCTTTTAGTATATCCTTGTCTAATTAGATTTTATTTTATTATAAAACTCCTAATAAATAGATAATGTGATAGAGTTTTATAGAAAATAAAATTGTTAATTTGTGGTAAATTTTATAGAAATTATTTTATTTTTATTATAAAAATTTGTATAAATAAATAAATAATAATAATAATTAGTCATCACTATCACAAACCAAAGTAAACTTACCAAATCAACCACTTTTAAACATTAATTAGAAAGAGAAAAATAAAATGAAACAATTAGTCTACTTCTAAACATCAATTAGAAAGAGAAAAATAAGAATAAAAGAAAAGAAAAAATAATAATAATGTTTCTAAAAAGAAAAAAGTGAAGAAAAAAATAAACAATCCAACCTTCTCAATACAACAAATTAAGAATAACAAATTTTGAACCATCCAAAGTATAATTATAAAGAGTAAAATAAATATAAAAACTAAAGAAAAAAGAAGAATGATACTTCTGGAAAATAAAAAAACAAAAAAAAAAAACAATAATAATTTGAAAGAGAAAAATAAAAATAAAACAATAGAAAAAAATAATAATAATGCTTCTAAAAAGAAAAAGTAAAGAAAAAAATTAACAATCCAACCTTCACAATACAATAACCTAAGAATAACAAATTTTGAACCATCCAAAATATAATTACAAAGAGTAAAATAAAAATAAAAACTAAAGAAAAAATAAGAATGATACTTCTGAAAAAGAAAAAAAACAATAATAATTAGAATGAGAAAAATAAAATAAAACAATTCATCTACTCCTAAACACCAATTAGAAAGAGAAAAATAAAAATAAAACAAAAGAAAAAAACAATAATAATGCTTCTAAAAAGAAAAAAGTAATGAAAAGTTTTAACAATCCAACCTTCTCAATACAACAAATTAAGAACAACAAATTTTGAACCATCCAAAGTATAATTACAAAGAGTAAAATAAAAATAAAAACGAAAAAAGAAGAATGATACTTCTGAAAAAGAAAAAAAAAAAAAAATGAAGAAAAAAAATCAACTACTTCTAAACATCAAATAGAAAGAGAAAATAAAAATAAAATAAATCAACTACTTCTAAACATAAATATCAATTAGAAAGAGAAAAAAATAATAATAACATAATAATAATTCTTATAAAAAGAAAAAGTAAAGAAAAAACTTACGAGACCAATTATAAAGAGAAAAGAAAAAATATGCACACCACAAGCCTGGCCTAATATATATGTATATAGGTTATATGTGATAGAGTTTTATAGAAAAAAAAATAGGTGACTGAAATTTTATTAGGTAATTTGTGTTAGAATTCTTTTTATAAAAACACTTTTTATATCAATTAATAAATATATTTTTTATATTAATAAATAAATATTGAACTGATGAAGCAATTAATAAATATTTTTTTATATTAATAAATAAATATTGAAATACTGAAACACTGAAATACTTTGCACATTTAATAATAGTATAGATTTGTAATTATCGACTCCATCCAACAGCGGTCCAAATAATTTGTCAGAAAAGAATAATAAAAAAACAAAAAAGATTTTACAAAGGAACCCAAAATAAATTGAAATTACAAAAGCCACGTTTTTACTACTTTATTCTGTTTCTTTGAACAGAAACCTCCCCTCTCTCTCTCTCTCTCTCAACGCACGCACCTGTTTTGTTAATATAGAAAAATGAACCGGAAAACCGACAAGCTTGTGAGAAGGACTACGATGGTGGCCACTGTTACTGCTGGTTATTTCCTCCTAACCGCTGACTACGGCCCCGAACCTAATGTCCTCGACCCTGTAAGTGGCTATATATATATATATATAGTTATTAGTTTGTATGTCTGTGTGTATACTATCTTTAATTTCTTGTTATCGATTTTCTCCAATTTGTTGTGTTTACTGTAAGTTGCCATATATATGTATATGAATGTTCAACATCATCTCTGTGCGTGACTTGTTTCGTTCAATTGCAGATTCGTTTGGTGTGATTTTATTTGCTTATCAATTGTATGTTGTGTATGTGTAATTTTATGTTTCTGTTAGTTCATTTTCTTAGGTTTCTTATATTCAGGTGTAGTGAGATTATTGTTTGTTATGAATCGTATAGATGGGAAGTGGCTTTATTCTCTTTGCGCTTATTGTTGAATTTGGTCTGCGTGAGCCCTAATTTCATTTATTTATTTATTTTATTTATTTTCCATAGTTTTTGGGGTTTTGCTTTAATTTTTATTTCCAATTGTTTTGCTAAGCTTTTCAATTTTTTGTATTGTTTGAAGTTTGCAATTGAAATTGGCATAAGGTTATAATAAGTCGGGAATGAACATTAATTGATTACAAGGTTTTCATGTTATTATTAGATTTTTTTTTTCCTAGTTGGGACTTACACACACCACCTCCACTGAGGTCGAACCCCTAACCTCCCTTTGGGAGGTAGGAGCCTTGTACCTCTAGGCCACGGGCCTGTTGGTGTTTTCACGTAATTCTCATATGGTGAACTTTGAAAACGCGATCCTGCCAAGGAAAATCTTCATCACGAACAAGGGATATAAATTATAATGTTGATTTCCCTTGCATTCTCTAATTCTCATTTTTGATACATCGGTAGTCATCATATATCATTAGAACAATATTACTTGATGAGCCATTAATGCAGTTGGTTTATAAGAACCTGAACCATTTAATTGTAATAGCTGGGTGAAATTAGGAGTTTAACCCTGTTCTACTCAGAAAAGAACCTATTACCAAGCATTTAATATTCTATGCTAAATATGCGACTATGCAATTAATAGATGCCTTAGGTGACTACCATGTTTTTGCTGTAGCGGAGGTATACAACAGCAGTATCTAGTTACAAGCACAAGGTTTGAAGACAATTTTGTAGGCATGATTTCAAGTTTTAGGGAGTGCTGTTTCAAGGGAGAATGTCTTCCAATATTTGGTGGAGGATGATTCTAACGGCATATTTCATCTGCTTTCTTTTGACAGGAAAACTGAAGTTCTAAATGTGACAAAAGGCATTTTAATTTTAATATAAGTCTATTATACGAACATCGACACAATATTATTCATTGCAAGAGAAAGTACTGCTTGCATCTTCTAGTAGTCAGTTTAGTACTGTGATACCTTACACGTGGAATCTGTTGAACTGTAACATAATCTGGAAAAGAAATTTGTTTGGATTTTCAATTTAGAAGGTTGATTTGAAGTTAATTATCTCGTAGTTTCCGTCAAATGCAATTCTAAAAATTTGGTCGTTTTAGAAGACATCCTCCCAGACAATGGTGGTGGTTGGAGTTTGTTATAGGAGTGCAAGTTTGCACTGTGCACTCATCTAGGAACTTTCATGAGATTTCCCATTTCAAAAATACTAAATTAAGTTACATTTCATGTCACTTAAACTAACTCAGCCAGGGACAGACCCAGAAAATTAGGTAAGGGGGTCAACCTTTAACAACAACAAGATAAAGAATGTTGTGGGGGCAATAGTGGGGTTTCTTTTCGTAATTTGAATGGGGTAATTTTAAATTTTTAATGGTATTTAATACAAAAAAAAAAAGAAAACAATATTACCATTTTTTTTTTCAGAATTGCCCCCACTGCCAATGAAGTAGGTCCATGCCTGAACTCGGCATTGGACTTCTTTCATATGAAGTTGAGTAATCATCCATTAAATGTTATTTAACATTTGTCTCGAATTGCATTTAGAGGACATCTAGAAAAAAGGTGCTCGTGTGAACTTTGTATAGTTGTTTGATTGGCTGATTCAATATAGTATTTGCTCTCTCCCCTTTGTTTTCTTGGTTTAAACTAATTAGGCTCCTCAGTTGGCACTCATGGATTATGATTGTTCCATAGGAATACCCAACCATGATTGACGGTACCATGGTCATCTGTGATACCATGACAAGGAGAGAAGACTACCTACAAATGAATTACTAGCAAAGAGCAGAAGAATTTGCCTAGGCTAGGCGGTAGGCACTAATGATGAGTCTTTGTGTTACCACGTCCTTGTCATCGTTATTAGAAAATATTGTGAACCTTTTTTTATTTTTTAAATGAAAAATTTTCCTAAATGAATTGTGAACCATCTATTAACATACGCTTTTTTTTTTTTTTCTTCTAAAAAATCAATTATAGAGGGACCAACTTTTCATGGACTGTATATTAGAGGCCTAATGTGTTATGAAATCCCGCTCCCTTCTAATGTTATATGCTATTAATGGTTACCAAATATAACTGTGCAGAAATTTACTCTACCACAGTGCTAAAAAACAATAAGTTGAGCATCCTGAAATAATTTGATATGAAATGATTAACTATGTGGGTCAAACATGTTGAAATTATGGTTTATGGAGCCCCTAGGAGCTAACTGAACTAGGGGAAGCTTAGTTCAAATGTCAATTGCTCTGAATGCTCTACAAATCGTTTTCTTTTTTCTTTTTATATCGTAAAGTACAAGAATTCTTCTTTTCTTTTCTTTTCTTTTTTTGTATTTGATTAGATATCGTTAATCTACCAGAGATTCAATGACAGTTTTAATTTGCAATGGCAGATTAAGAAGGCAATTCAATCAGCAGAGCATTCTGTGAAAGTGTTCGTGTTTGGACCGGACAAAGGAATTGACGAGAGTGAAAAGGGTAAGTCGGGCTCCAAAAGTGCAAAGGAACAACCATAGTATGTTAGTTAGATAACTAATTTTGCATGGTAAAAGTTTTTTAAGTGAGTTTTAGTGCGCTTGCTGAAGGAAGTTGTTATGTAGAGCAAAGTTTCATTTTGGCTCATCACTTGAAACTCTTGTACGCTGAATTTATGAATTCTCACCCTCTCTTGAATTTCAGAAATCATTTGAAATTGTAGTCAAGAATGAAGCAGATACATTTTGAACAAGATGCATGTAAATTGCCAGTTGGTTCATAAGATGGTTTATTTCTTACTGCATGGTAAACTTTAATATTAATAATTCTCGTAAGAGCCCAAGGTGTGTTGCGAGAAAGAGATCAATGTTGTGCCAGGTGAATAGTGACTTCTGCTGCCCACCAAAGTGGTCGGGACTATGGTGTATCCTGCAGCTTTCTGGTGTCAATGCTGTATTGCTCCTAACTTTTTTTTTTGTTATATATATATATATATATATATATATTTTAAATGGCCATTTTTTTTTATGGAACTACCGTTTTCATTTAGTGTCCCAAAAGTGAATGGTGAGGGTTCTAACTCAAATGGGCTTTCTTGCCCAAAAAAAATAATTACGGTGGAAGGAGATTTATCTTTTATTTTGGAGTACTTGAACATGGAATAGTGTTATGCACTTGTCCAAAGAGGCAAGATCTTTGGGCTTGTATGTTTTGACATAAAATATTTTTTTAAAAAAATATTTTTTATTTTTAAGTAAATTATTATTTTATTTTTATAATAGAGGTTTACGTTGAGGTTGAGGTCATATCTATTGGGCAGGACATGAAAAATAACTTGTCGAAAATTTATGAATAAATTATTTTTGTTAAATTTTAATAATTTTTTTGTTCGTAAATATTTAAAAAAATAAAAATAAAAATATTTTTTAAAAAATATTTTACGTCCAAATTAGCGGAACCTTGATGTCGGATCTCTTCTTTGGGGGCAGGATCTAAGCATTGTTTCAATTAATTTTCTTATCTTTATATACTTATAAACTAACATCAAAGTTTATAAAAATGTTTATCAAGACCAAAAATGTTTTATGGCGCACGATGTTTATAAAGATATGAGTAAAATTTATATGTTGAGATATTTGAATGGCAAGAACATTTAATTAATCAGAGAAACGGACGTATCACCATTATTTGGTACATCGGACGGTTCTTGAAGCAGTACTGTGACACAAAATTGATCACAGCCAAGCAATGGAACTACAATTTTTATATATTTATCCTATAAAAGTTAAACGTGTAAAAACCTCATTCACAAACCAACTGTTTCTAACAACCCATCCCCTCTCTTTCTTAACTATCTCACTCTCAAATCAAAACATGTTCCAGCAAATCCCAACAGCTCTCTTCCTCTCTCCCCAAACCCTAACCCTAATTTTGTCCAATGACAAAACACACCAGCCACATCCAGCCCCCCGCCAATTTCTTATCTTCATCCCATTTTACCCTCAGAATTCTCCTCAAATTACAACACCCACACTTTCCCTCAAAACCCCACAAGCAGCTCTGTCTCAGAGTCCTCTGTTCACAGCGCTCACAATCCCCAAATCCTTCTTCCTCTCAAACCCTAAACCTAAATTCAATTCTCCATGCAATACCCGATTGGGCTGACAGTATCAAAGAGAGGGGTATGCAACAGAAAAGGTATCTGTACAACCATGAGATGTGGGTACAGCATAGAAGCTCTTCACGCCACATCCGTCATCTGTTGTCGAGTCTCAGTTCCCGGGTGATTCTGTCGTTGATTCCTCCTGTGATTGTGTTTACTTCGGTGGCTGTGCTCATTGCAAGTTACAATACAGCGGTTTCAATCCATTGGTTGCCGGAGTTTTTCCCGGTGTTGAGGGCCTCAACCTTGCCTTACCAGTTGACGGCGCCGGCTTTGGCGCTTTTGTTGGTGTTCAGGACAGAGGCATCGTATTCGAGGTTTGAAGAAGGCAGGAAGGCATGGACTAGGGTTATCTCGGGCACAAGTGATTTGGCTAGGCAAGTGATTGCCAGTGTGGAAAATTCGAAAGATGCAGTGCTAAAGAAGGCCCTTTTGCAGTATATAATGGCATTTCCAGTTGCCCTCAAGGTTAGTGAATTGGGTGTTTTAGCTCAGATGACACCACACACACACACACATATATTTATTTTTTGCTGCAAATGAATTGGAACCTTTAATGGTACTTATTATTGAGATAATTAGAATGATGGTATTTCCAGGGGGAAAAAAAAAAGATAATTAGAATTATAGTAGTTATTACTATAAAGTGAAGTATCCAAAAAAGGACATTATAAATAACGAATCAATATTGAAAATAAAAAATAAAAATGGGTAAAATGCAGCAAGATCATTCAATGTATTATTAGTGGAAAATTCAGAAATGACATAGTAAATAATGTCTGGATTCTACAATCTGGAAGACTCTAGAAATTTCAAGAGTAATTAATCAATTTTCAGATTTTAATTTCTAGATTTTTAAAAAACCCTTTTTTTTTGCAACTGAGATACTATGGTGACCAGTAGGAACAAGACTGGTGGCTAAAATAGAACTTTTTGGTAAGGAGTTTTTTGTTATTATTATTATTATTTTCCAGTAATCAGAGCTGTATTTAAAAGTACTTTAAGCCGCTTTAAGGGGGTTATTTATGAGCTATGCATAGCACGAGTCGGTGGCACTATAGGACAATAAGAAAGCAACTAGGTGAAGGTTGAATTGTGGTGCAGTATTTCTAATTACATTGACACCTGAATGACTTCAACTTCAAAAAACACCGACTGAGTTTCTAGTCTTCCCCGGCATAGGCTGGGTTTTCATTTGGGGTAGGTTTCAATGTCTTATGGAAATGGAATAACCCCATTGCATTTTACATTGCATAAACAAACTCTTTTTTTGGTTGTTTCTGAAGCACAAATCCATCATCTAGAAGTGGCCATCAATAAACCGTATGGTATTAGTTTTGGATTTCATGAAATTCCATTTTCCATTTTAACAAATTAAGGATATAAACCTTTGAATGCAGTGCCATGTGATTTATGGCTCAGATATCAAACGAGACCTCCAGCCTTTGCTTGAAGTTGATGATTTAGCAGTAGTTCTCAGTTCGAAGCATCGCCCCCGCTGCATTATTGGGTTCATCTCTCAGGGCCTCCAGTTACTAAATTTGGACGAGTCAAAGAGAAATATGTTGGTAATTCTCTTTCAGGCATTATTTGAGGCTCTTAATTTCGTATTGAAGGTTACTTACTGAAAGTGATCTAAGGGATATTATGTTTTATTTCGTGTTATTGTTTGTACTAAGTCATTCTTCAAGTTTGGAATAAGCAACCATAGATACAGATTGGCAAGATGCCAGTTTACTTGGTATCATAGATTCCTGGGATTATATATAATGCAATTAATTATTTATATGCTGACAAGAGAATTTAGGTGGTATTTTTGGGATGTGAACTTAAATTTCTCTATGACGGCTTGTATGGGAACAAATTATGATCAATCTTACATGAGCTACATCATAATGCAGGAGTCAAAAATATCTTGTCTCCATGAAGGTATTGGTGTTTGTGAGCAGCTTATAAGCATACCAATTCCTCTCTCCTACACTCGCTTGACCTCAAGGTTTCTGGTACTCTGGCATCTTACTCTTCCCATTATACTTTGGGACGATTGCAATTGGATTGTGGTTCCTGCAACTTTTGTTAGTGCTGCTTCCTTGTTCTGCATCGAAGAAGTATCTCTCTCTCTCTCTCACACATACACACACAATTATTATGCTCTGTTGGCTTCCCAAATGACCTTATAATATATAGCTGACATAGTGCCTGTATTTTTGTTTTCGGGTTTTCTGTCATTGTCATGTTTCAAATGTCAAATGTATAACACTATCGTTTCACTTATATAGCAGCGTCCCTTCCCTCTTTCATTCTTGCCCTCTCTAACACGAGTGTCCTAGCAATACTGCTACATCACAGATCCATATAAACTCGCCTTTCTTCATTATTCTTGTTGCTTTTTAATTTTTGACTAGTTATCAAATGGGCCAAATTATGTCCTTAGTAAAATTTGTTTTTCATAAAGCCTCTTGGTGAGAGCATTTTATTAATTGATGCATAGTTGTGCAGAGAATATTATTTTGATTTGATAATGGATGCTTGCAGGTGGGTGTTCTTATTGAGGAGCCCTTTCCAATGCTTGCACTTGATGAACTGTGCAAGCTGGTTCGCAACAACATTCAAGAAGCCATTGATTCCAAGGAACTGATTCAAGCACAATTTACTGCCAAACAAAAGAGTCGTGCTAATGAGCACTCGCCAAATGGTTGGCCCAACTCTTAGGTGGACAAGGAACCCAGGTTAAACGATCTTCCCAAACCCACTCCGGGACATGCCCCATATTTTTGTCATAGCCTTCAAAGTAGAAAGTTGTGTACACCATAGGTAATCTGAATAGTCTGTTTTTGTTGATAGCCGAGAGCATGTACAAATTTGTAAAGGGGAATTGAAATACCCTCAAACGGTTATCCATTTATGTATGTATATACAGATCTTGCTCTTGAGAAAATGAACCATTAGTGACTTCCATTTTCGAAACATTGTTTCCCTTATTCATCTAGGAAGTTTTTGAACAATTGTTCAATTTTGTTGCTTAAAGTATGATGGAATGGGAAGTGTACATATGAACAAAATGAGCCTTTACCCATGGATGATTTGCGTTGTGCATGGAGTTGGTTGGAAATTAGAAAGCAATAAATTGTGAGTAGTATAGACCAGATGCTCTGCAGCTTCTCCCCAACGGTTATGAAAAAGTGGCCGTTGACTGAGAGGTAGATTGCTTGAAGGTACCTGAACGACCTTCAAACACACCTGCAATCTTTTGGCTTCCCTGCAAACTCCACTAAAACTCATCGCCATTTTCTTCACATTTGACGTCAACTAAACCACCTTGACTCAAACCAATCGGTGCGTAGAAACCTTTTGGCTAAGCTACAAAACCCAATCTGAAATTTGAAGTGGACACTAAGTTTGTTCTGTTTGTTGGTGAGAATAAAATGGGTCCATCTCATGGTAGAAGCCTCAGCGGAAGCCATGAAAAAATAAAAAAGGAAAGGTTAAAAAACGTGTCTGAGCCCGGGTTCGAACCGGGGACCTTTAGTGTGTGAGACTAACGTGATAACCAACTACACCACCCAGACAATTTGTTCAAATGTTGTCCTTTTATCATCATGAAGAAAACATGAGTTAACAACATTGTATTTACCTTGTATTGTACTTGTGTTCATGTCTAATTAAGGAATTAACTTATTGGTTGATTTTATGCAGTGATTGGTACGGAGGAATTTGATGTTTGGTTAAAATGTTAATAATTATTTTAGTATGTTGTTGGATTAATTTAAAATACATAATGAAATGTATTTTAAATTAAATTCTTTGAAATACCTTTTTTATAAATAAATATATTGAATTAATAAAATAACATTTTCATATTTTTGTTAAAAAGAAATGGCCGCGACAATGCATGGTAGTGGCGGTGGTGGTGCTAAAAGGTAGTAGTGTTGTAGGTGATGGTGGTTGAAGGAGGCAATGGTGGTGTTGGAATGTGGCAATATTGGTGGTGAGGGAAGGCGGCAGCAATGATGATGTGGTGCAAAGTAGTGAAGGTGGCAATGACGGCAGCAAGTGGAAGACAAGAGCAATGGTGGTGGAAGGTAGTGAAGGTGGAGGTGGTGGAAGGCAATGGTGGTGGAAGGTGGTGGTGATGACAATGTGGTGGCGATGAAAGGCGACAATGGTGGCGGTGACAATGATGATGGTGGAGGTGACGCCAGGAAAATTGGTGGTGGTGGTGATGGTGAAAGGCGGTGGTAGTAGTGGTGGTGGTGATTTTTAAGCTTGAAGCATGAGGGTTTTTTTAGAAATTTACTGTTTTAGAAAAATTGATACGTACAATTATTTTCACTTTAAATTTTATACCAAATAAAATAATGCACTTTCATTCAAAATTATTTTTGCATGTCAATTGTAGCATTAAGAGAATTGTAAATTATGCATAATTGCATATTAGAATTGTAAAACATGTATATTCATGTTCATTATTTTCCAATCAAATCAAAATTGGTCAGGATTTCTTAGAATTTCTTTCGGTTTGTTAATTATACCACTATCAGAATTTATCATTATAATACTCCGTAGTAAAATTCCCCATTGATAATGATAGAATCTACCAACCATACTTTTGAATCGCGAAAACTTGAGAATGGAGAGGATTTGGGTCCTCCCAAAAGTAACCTTTTTCATATTTTGTTTGAGTTTGGATCTCTGGCAATTGTTATTTGTTCTTCTTGGTCCTTCCCATCTTTATTTTCTTAGAAAAAAATATATGTTCTATAATATAAAAAGCCATAAAAGGATTAGTATAAGGTATTAGGTGGAGTTAATATTCAACTCATATGTATCGAGTCACTCTCCCATTCAGATCCGACGTGGACAAACTTCCCCTTGTTGCATTCACTCCCACCTGACATCCAGACCGGGCGCTTGGTTTGATACTAAATCAAATATTAGGTCTATACCAATAGTGACGGACCAGTGTTTCACAATCTGACCAAAAAATCTAAGCTATTAAATGAATAAGTTAATTACAACGACACTCCCTGAAATTTGCTATAATGACACTCATATATAAGTTAGACGTTTTTTTGGACAATGACACCTGACAAAATTTGAAACCAAACAGGCCCTTAAAAGGTTTGAAAAGACAAAACTGCCCATCAATATTTAACTAATTTTAATTGTAAAATATTAAAATTTTAAAATGACACTTTTACCCTTCTACCATTTCTTCTAATCGATCCCCACCCCTTCTCTTTCTTCACCAGCCGCCATCATCTCCTCAAAGGCAGCCCCTTAACCACAACCACTGCCACTTATCCTCAGCCACATCCCGCCGCCACCATCTCCTCAACCTCAACCGCCGCCATCATCTTCTTTTCAATCACAGCCGCCGCCACCACTTCTCCTCAACCACAGCTGCCGCCACCACTCTCTCCGCTCATCGGTGATTGCACAGTATCACATCTCTTATCACCACCACCACGCTTTGTGCAAAAACAACAGAGGAGCAACCCACAGATCAATCCAGATCCATTTGCATCATGAGACCGTGGTCGGAGGTTACGGCGGAGGTGGTGGTGGTATCACCGGAATTATTAGAATGATAGGTGAAGCCCCCAAAACCAATACCTGATCTGAAAACACACAAGCAAACAATGACAACAAACAATCGAACCATGCCCGATAGACTCCAAACCCTAGAATTCCAAAGCTGCAAAGTCAACGGCGAAGATTGCGAACTCGAAGGACTCGAGAAGCTAGAGGCCGGTGTGAATCATATGGCTGAGAAAATAATTGAATATAGAGCTTCACTGCCGGATCGGCTCAAGAACACTCTCGCTTCGGTTCTTTCTTCACAGAGACCCGTTCTTGTGACCCATTTCAAAGATGGGTCCGAACCCGGACCATCCGGTGACCCCAACCCAGGTGCACTTCTATGGATTCTAATTTTTTCCCGTTTGAATCTCTCTTTGCTTCCAATGTCGATGCTTTTGTTAGATAATGTGCTTCTCAGTTCAATCTATTTTGCTGTGTCTATCTCGAAAATGCTATTCAGTTCAGTCATATATCCCATTAAATCAAATTAGTCTATAATTATGCTTATTGACGACCTCCTCCTCCTTCAACTTCTAATGTATGATAAACTTCATAGAATAGAGAGTGTGACACATCGTGGGGAGAAGTTGCTAAGTTGTTGAGACTTATTCGTGTGGATACTGCTTAATCATGTGAATGCGTTTTAAGGAAAATCGTGAGCTAAGAGTGTGTGCAAAGCAAATAATATTTACACGGTCCGAGCAGCCCAGAGAGAGAGAGAGAGAGAGAGAGAGAGAGGTATTATAAAGAAATGGTCTTACAAATTCCAAGCATTTTACAACAATAATTAAACATAGAAATGAAGGGCTGAAAATAAAAAAGAACGAAGTCATTGAGCTTAGGAATACTACACAAAAAGGAGCACCATTTTTCATTTGTAAAATTGAATTAAATGTCTTACTAATTTGAGGTTTATTTGGATAAATAGGCTTGACTTGTTGGTTACAGCTTGATTCATGGAACTCATTTTGGTTTATTGTGAGTAAGCAGCCTAGCTAGCTTGGCTATTCTATCAATTAGAAGCAAAAACTGTTTCAACTCAAGCTTTTTTGAAATGTTCTTTTAATTACAACATCAAACACAAGTTTTTGTCCATCCTCTCAATTTTCTTAAGGATTCTATTCAAATGATGTTTTTTGTTCTTTTCTTTCGCTTCTCATGCAAAGGATTGACCAGTTTTTGTTCTTACATGCAGGACTTATGGAACCAGGTAAAGCGGCCTCCATATCCATAGCAGAAGATGAAGAGACTGCTGAGGACACACAAATGCTTGAACAAAGGATTTCTAGTAATCTCTCTGCCATGTCTGTTGTTTTGAAGAGGATGAGGGAATGCATTTCTAGAATTGACAATCTATATTCATGCAATGGAAGCATCCATCCAGCTTTTAAAAGAAAAAAGACTAGCTGACCCAATTCATTTCGCATCTGCGTGATTTTTGCCAGTCTTGTTTATTTGAAGAGAAGAGGAGTGTGTGTTGCCACTAGGGCTGCAACCTGGGCTTGCCCAACCCAGCCCTGACTCAACCCGAAGCGGGTTGGGTTGGGCCAACCCGAATTAAACTCAACATGGGTTATGATCATAACCCGGACCGAATATTTTCGGACGGTTTGGGTCGGGTTGATGGGTTGAGTTCTTTATTTTCATTTTTTTAAAAAAATTTATATATATATATATATATATATATATATATATATATATTATATTAATAATTAATATAATATATATAAAATATTATATATTAAAGCAAAATATTTTTAGGGCAAATCACTTCAGCCTCCCCATCTCCATTCTCTCTGGAAACCCCCCCCCCCCCTCTCTCTCTCCAACTGTAAATTACAAAATCTACAAGAATCATCAGAAGTTCAAAACCTATATTTCAGTTTAATCTATCTATCTGTAAGAATCAAAAGTTCAAAACCCACGGCATATCATTTCAAATTGTTCAAAAAATCAAAACCAGATCGGCATATCATTTCAGATTGTTCAAAAAATAAAAACCCAGATCTTTCAGTTTCCATCGCCCGCTGTTCCAGTTCGGATTCGCCGTTCGCAAGCTTCAGCCGTTGTATCTCAACTCTCAAGCTTATCCCCTCTCTGTTTGGAAAAAAGGAATTTCATTTCCTCTTCGTCGACAAATTACAAGTTGCAGAAAGTGGGAAGATTTGTGTTGACGGATCTGGTGATATTCTCGTCTATCCGGCAGAGGTCGCCGTCTCTGGAGGCTTTCCTGGCACCGGTGGAGTCGCCGCTGTCTCTCAACTCTCAAGCGGCGGAGAGAGAAAGAGAAAGAAGAGAGAGAAAAAGAAGAGAGAGGAGAGAGAAATGAAGGAAAAAAAAAAAAATTGGGTTTCGGATTGGGCCCGAGCCCAATCCGAATATGTCTGGGTTTTAACAAAACACAACCCGAACATGAACCCGATTTGGGAATTTAAAACCCAATTTTCAAAATTACGGGTTGGACTTGGGTTGGGCTGGGTTAGCCCGCCCAAGTTGCAGCCCTAGTTGCCACCATCTGTATAATGATTCCATCCATCCAGCTTTTGAGAAAGTAAGGGGTTCAATAACAAGATATGTATTTCCATTGCTGGAACTGGACATCCTGGTTGCATTGTAATTAATAAAGAGCGTTGATTTAAGTATTCCTGTTATGTGTTAAATGTAATGGAAAAATGATTGTCCTGCCATCGAAGTTGTCTTTTTAGTTGTGCTCTCTCTCTCTCTCTGAGCGGTGAGCGCAGAAAGACTGACAGCAGAGCTTGTGTGTGTGTGTGTGTGTGTGTTTTTTTTTTTTTTTCTTTCCCGGGTGTATGTGGGACGGGGATGGGACTGCATGTGCCCGGGGTCAATTCTGGAGTGTGCTCTAAGAGGTCGTTTCGACCAAAAAAAAATCTCAATACCATGGGGTGAACAACATATTAATCAATTACATTGCTAACGTCTACAAGAAGAAATGCTGATGCATGGTAAACACGGAGGCAAAAGAAAAGATCACGCCGACTCTATAAGAATTATTCAAACATTGGCCTCACAGCATAGTGGGAAATGGTACCTGAGGTCGCGGGGTTCAAGTCCCACCTTGGTGAGAAATAATAGACTTATATTCGGGTTTATTCGATCATTCATGAAAAGTTCAACAGAACCCTATCACAATTATCCTGAAGACCCTGTTAAAGCTTCGATTTGACAGCAGAATTTGGTTTTTTTGCTGGCCTTATTAGGCCCTCTTGAGTTGCTGATGCAACAAGCTGCCCATCAACAAAGCACAAAAGCTCAGGAATTGAACTCTCAAATCGAATGGACGAACAAATGAAAGAAACAAAGAGCAGTAATATATTAATTTATAGTAATAAATTTACCTCTCCCTTCCTATTAAACATTTGGCCTGCAACAAAACCTCGTGCATTATGGGCAGAAGGACTGATCATCTGTAAAGAACATTTCCACACATTAACCATGAGACAGCAGAGAGGAGGAAACACTTGCAATGAACAAAAACAAAGGAAAAAAAATGTTTTCTAGTATTACCGAAAACAACAACCAGTCATCAGCTCTAAGCGACCTGTGGAAACACATCCTGGAAAAGAGAGATGAAGAAAATGAGAAATACTCTTGAGGTGGGGTCATTTTTCACAAGGCAAGAAAGACATATATTGCAACTATCTACGTACTTTTTATAAGATCAAAACTTCTCATAGATAAAGATGGATGCATATCTATGTGTTTCAGAAAACCTATTCTGTTGAACAATAATCATACTCTCTGAAAAATGACCATTCCCCTATTTTGATCCTCATTAATTAAGATAGTTGGGAGGAGATACAGGCACGGCACTCAAACTCAAACATGCAGTTATTTCAAATACATGCCGAGAAGAATTTCATTTGCACGGGGATCTTAATAAAGTAATTTACCAACATCCAGGTCCTCTCAATCCAACTCCAGTATTCAACCCTCCTTTATATTTGTGAATTCAACTCCAAATAGCTTTATTTTAAATCCATCCATCCAAATGCAACCTAATGACCAAATTAATTATTCTGCATCACCAATTAGAATCCCTCGCACTTTCTTTTCCTAGGAAAAGTGGTTACTCCATCGGACCACGGAGAATAATAAAGTACTTACACCGCCTAAATGCCATAAAACATGCAATTGTGGGGCTCAACCCAGCGTGAGGCGATTAACCGGAGCTCAAAACCAGACTTCTTGATGTAATATAGATCATGAAATATTGCATATGAAGTGGCGCAATCCTTTGTTCCTTTTGTGATGCACAGCTTTGAAACATATTCAGCTATTAACAATAATTGTGACTGAAAGCGAAAAATCCAAAAAAAGCCATACTAAGTATATCAAGGCAAACTGTGCCTAAACATCAAGGTCTCTGTGCATCCTCAAATTATGCCCAACCCAGCCCTCCACCCCTCGTAGGAAACTCAAGTCCGGTGTTTAAAAAGGGTGGGCCAGATATGGGCTATTGTTCGGTCTAAGATTGTTATATCTCCTACTAAAGTTAAAACAATCCTCACAGAACTGACATGCATGAGCTAAAAATAACATTGAAGAAATAAGTATGTTATAAAAGGACATGGATTCTTACGCGTGATCCAGACTAACAGAAGTTGCCTTCAAACCCCTTCTACGGTGAGGATTCAAACTTATTCCAAGAAATATTAGATCTGATACGTACGATGCTACACATCTGCAACCCAACCACATGATCAAATAAAACATAAGATGAAAATTGATAATCAAACTTTTATCCAGAAACACGTACAAGTATACCTCTTAAAGGACACTATTCAATTAAGTCTCATAGAATAGAAAATCTTTCTAAAATTTCTGTGTTTAACATGTAATATGCCAGCATTCCTACTTTACAATACAACTTTTTGAGCTAACTTCAATATAGAGGGGCAGATATAATGAGACCACTTCAAGCTAAGGCTTGATACATTATACCCGTCAGAATATATCTAGAATTTTTTTTTCCGAATTATACTCTAAATATTTAATGAGTCATAATAACTTAGACTGATGGGACTTAAAATGCTATTGACCTTCATCCACATGGATGTCAATCTTTAACGTAATCAACTATAGTGATTGAGGTTCAATCTAAAGAAGAAAAGAAAACTGCTTCCCTATCTATTCAAAATAAATCAATCTACACTAGCATGTATAATAGAAAAGCAAAAGATGATTCTCTATAAACTTTGAAACGTAATGAAGTTAAATAGGATGACATCTCACAATTCTAATGCTCATTTTCCATCCATGCGAACATAACCAAGAACACTGGAACTATTAAAAAGGAGTCTTTACCTATGCAAAGCCTGATCATCTGAAAGCTTTCCTTTTGCTCTAAACCAGTACCTCAAACTGCACCACGAACAGTCTACCAATGAGATATGAGATCCAAATTTGAAAGAAACTAAAAGCATATTTTCCTTATTTTATCACGATGTCATATGCACACAATATCAAGAACCAGGGTTAACCTTGGAGGAGATTTAGTTTGATTGGTGGCAGTACCAGGATCGCAAAATCTTATCTCTATAGGCCAAGGTACAAACTTTGCAGTGGCAACTTTGTTTCGGTATGTCCTGTTACAACTGATAGTTAGAACTCAATGAACTCAGGAATAAGCTGGAACATAGAATAATCTACGTACTACCTGGATGGAAACTTCATATGCAAAATAAAGACATAAACTGGAACACATAATAATCTATGTTCTGCCTGGACAGAAACATTATATACAACAATTAATCAATTCATTTGATAATACAATTATAGCAAATCACATAACATGAGAAAGAATAAGTGTCACTCAAGATAGAGAAGGGAAAAACAGCATAAAGCTTCCATTTCCTGCAACTAAAGAACAATAGTTGAAAGATCAGGTGATGGAGATGAGGATGGGTTTCACACCTACTTTGGTGTAGGCATAGGATTTTATTTTAGTAGGGTTACAAAACTGATGATAGATAAGGGGTCTTTTCTTTTTTCGTGCTTTATGGAACACGTGTTTTTTGTATGTTTTGTACGTGTATGCATGGAAAATTCATAGAGTTTCTGTTGATCAACATGTAAAAAGATGTTGATCACAATGTGCACGGCAATTAAAATGGATTATAAGCAACTGATTCTGTCCACTCCCGAAGCAATTTAGAGATTGTGTTGTGTTGACCAACATCTAAGACGCTAATAATTGGTCTAAGTACACTACATAACATCATATGAAAATTTTAGGTTTATCTTCTTAACGAGTAACGGTCGAAGATGATATTGCCGACTGCATGAATCTCATATCAGGCTTTTAATAAGAGAAGCTTCTAAGAAGCATATATATTCAACTAATCCGGGTTAGGGAACATGTTAGCAATCAAATCTAACTCATCCAGAAATCCAGAGATGGCAATGCCTGTTCAAGAAGGCTGCCTCTAAAATAAAAAAGATTTTTAGCTATGTTTGGTCAGAGAAAACTTCCAATATTCAATAACTAATTCTCTTGGGTCATTATTCTTCAGGTTAATCTCCTCAAAGACTATATCACAATAAAATTTATCTAACTTTACATGAAAATTCTCTTCAACAATGTAGCAGTAGTTTTAGTCTTCTATTTGGCATGTGAAACTCATATTAAAATGAACTGTGACAGGAGTACAAATAAATATGCACCAGATTGACTTATAGCTAAAGTTAGTAAACTAAGAAGAGAGTCACGACACAATGATAAAGACAAAGGTCCAACTAGTTTCAGCAAAATGTATATTAAAAGGAAGGATACAAGATATTTATGTACATCAGGGCGCAAAAAAAATTTACAAATAAGGAAATGCCAAATTAGACGTAAAGGAGTGATAATTATACTTGGGAAGGCGAGGATCAGTAAGACGTTTCTCCCGCAACTCTTCCATTGATAAAAGCTGCAATGTGAGTTCAGAAACCACAGAAATAATCAACCGAAGATAGTTGATAACTAAAAGCAAGCATAATTTGCTTACCACTTCCGGATTTGGCACAGATGGAATAATTGCTGCAACCACAGCGATAATCGACTGAAAATAGTTTATAATTAAAAGTAAGCATATTTTGCTTACCACTTCTGGATTTGGCACTGATGGCATAATCGCTTGCTGATGATCAAACCCTTGTTCTTCTTTCTGTAAAAAATAATTTCACCCAATATTACATGCATTTAGATGTAGTAGGCATTCATTCCGAAGCTATAACTTAAAATCTAATCCAAAAGAGCAAAAACTATAAGCAAAACCAACAAAAGAGCATCAAAGGAAAAATTGCACCACTAACCAAAAGATATTCAATGCAGTGATGCTAATGGATACTATCAAGTTTCAATTAATTGATATTCTCAAGAATCTATGGTTGAAGACAAAATCTAATACAAACCCTAGCCATTCGCCTTGGCTATCTAATTCTATTGGCCTTACAATTGTCAGCTTTGAGAATCAAAACCCTAAGTGCCATTGTTCTATCATACATATTTTTTTAACAAATCTCAAGATTAGAAGCTAAGGCCTGTTTGGTTCCATCATTTTTCAAGAATTTTGAAAATAGAAAACAGTTTTCTGATAACTGTAGCAGGTTGTTCCCTGAAATTGGGCCTTTTCTTAACTTTTCATATAAAATGTTCTAAAAGTCGTCGTAGAAAAGCGATTTTTTTTTTTTTTTTTTTTTTTCTTTTTTTCTGTTTTTCTGTTCTCTAGGAACAGAGTCTCTGAAAATAAAACCAAACATGCTCTAAATACGTGAAGGTAAAGACATGGCTATCAACTAAGGGGAAAAAATAAAAATAATAAAAAAAACAGATGATCTTTTCTATATCCAGGTTTTGCAGATTACACATATCTTGGTCTTTAGCATTCTGCTTTTAGTGCTTGCTAACCAACTAGCTTCAGAAGCCTTTCCATACTAAAAACTAAACATTTCTTTAAAACCAAAAGCATCCAATGTAATCCGGAAATGGCGAAATTATATATGTGTAGGTCCTCTCAACATAGTCCAGACTTTTTTTTAGGAAGGTAATATAATCAACACTTGGTGATGCCAAGAAAATCATTTTCTTTAATGCATCTACAATATTCTTCTATCCTTTTTGGTTCAGATGATCCAGGGTAGTATCACGTAGATATAGTTACATGGCAGAAACCCAAAATCCCCAGGAAGACAACCTGCTGCAAGATCCTGCATGTGGTTGAAGGTGGTCCTATAATTGCCAAAATGTTAGCTTTACCAGCAACTCTGTGAACCTTTCTAAAGATCTCAAGATAAAAGATGGAGATGAACCTCTTTAACATGATAACACAAAAATCAGAAAGAGTAGCACAAGTAATACATCAATGACGTTTTGCAGTAACTACCTCTCCTAGGTCAATGTCAATTTTCAAACACGGGAGGTCCCTGTAAATTGTAATTAAACCAAACCTCAGGGGAATTTCATAAAATAAATCCAAAATATGTGAACAAAATAATTCGACTTGCAAAGACTGCAGCAATAGGACTGGATCAATAACTGTTGCAATCCATCTGCAAACTATTACAAGCAAAGGACTCTGACATGGAAATACTGAGGAGGAGGAATCTCAATTGACAGAATTAATGAAAATGGAATCAAAGCAAATGGACATGCCAACGAAATACATGTCTTGTTACCGTGCCAGAAGGGAATCACTACCAAAATGCAAGAATAAACAGTTGAATATCCAAATTAAGCCAGTCATAATTCAACTTTAGTAGTTAAAAGAATTACAAACATTCCAGCCCCACAACAGAAGTAAATAAATAAACAAAGATAAGACGGGATATCAGCATCCAAATCCAAAACACGTAAGAACATTTCCAGAATGTTAATACGTGCAAATGGAATAATAACAGCATTACCTGAAATGAAGCAAGCAATGTGAATACGACATTCCCTTTTTGTACTGCATCTACTTTTCGAGTAGCAAAGCTGTTCCCATCACGAACTCGGTGGACTTGATAAATGATTGGCACTGCAAAAATAAATTATTGAATCTTGTTATAGTTAGAGAAAAAATGCATATTATCAGTAATTCTTTATTTAAAAGTTATGCCTCATGAAACGAATATTGAGCAAACATTGAAATTCCACAGAAAAAATTTATTTTCTTCATGGAATAAAATTAAAGGATAATGGTGTAGAGATAGGCTCTCTTTTGGGTGTGTCATTTGAGGGTCGGATGGAGGAGGCAACAAACTTATTCCTTGATGTTCTTAATGCTCCGTTTGCTGATAGAATGGATTGTAGGGGAAATGTTCCAGTGGAGAGGGAGGAGAGAGGGATTCAAAGTCCCTCGACTCTTGTTACCTATGAAAGGAGGAGGAGGGGGGCTAGGGAGAGGACCAGTGAGGGGTGAGGTGGTCAATTCTACTGTTTCCCTATGAAGCTACAAATTCTTTCATGGAATGTCCGGGGTCTCAATGACCCGGCTAGAAGGAAAGTGGTGAAATCAGTGATTCGGAAAGTGGGTGGTCATTTAGTATGTCTTCAAGAAACCAAGATTGCCTCTATGACGGATGTGATTGTTCGAGGTTTATGGGGTGGGCGATTTGTGGAGTGGTTTGCTTTGGATGCGATTGGCTCTTCGGGTGGTATTCTGATCATGTGGGATGTTCGTTGGATCTCTTTGTTGGACTCTCAGGTTGGGCGTTTCTCGGCATCCTGTGTTCTATCCATGGTGGAGGATGGCTTTCGTTGGGTTTTTTCTGGAGTCTATGGGCCTACGGAGGATTGTGATTGCCATTTGTTCTTGGAGGAGCTGGGGGAGATCCGTAGTCGATGGTCGTTGCCTTGGTGTGTAGGGGGGGATTTCAATGTTGTTCGTTCTCCTTTTGAGAGGTCGACAAGGGGCAAATGGACAGCTGATATGATGGCTTCTCAGAGTTTATTAATGGTTTCTGTTTGCTTGATTTGCCTTTGGTGGGTGGGCATTTCACCTGGTCCAATGGACGCTCTCCTCCTACTCTCTCTCGTCTTGATAGATTCTTGGTGTCGAGTGATTCGGAGGAAAAGTTTTCTGATGTTGTTCAAGCCACCCTGGCTCGTCCTTTGTCTGATCATGTTCCATTGTTGTTGGACTGTGGCGGGTTGCGCAGCAATAGCTCCCCTTTTAGATTTGAGAATATGTGGCTTCGGGCTGAAGGCTTTTTGGAACGAGTCCGATCCTGGTGGGCAAGGTATGGAGTGGTTGGCACTCCGAGTCATTCTTTGACAGGCAAGTTGCGTTTTTTGAAGAATGATCTCAAAGTCTGGAACAAAGAGGTTTTTGGTAATTTGGCTTGGAGAAAGAACCGGGTTCTCTCTGAGATTGCTAACATTGATAAGATGGAGAATCAGGGTCTTTTGACGGGTCCTTTGAAGCTCGGGAGGGTGGAGTGTCAAGCAGAGTTTGCTAAGATTCCAGTCTGGAGGAGATTTCATGGAGACAGAAATCTAGAGCTTTGTGGCTCAAGGAAGGAGATAATAACACTAAATTCTTTCATAGGCTCGCCAATGCTCACAGAAGGGGCAACCACATTGGGAGGATAAGGGTGGATGAGGTGTTAATTAGTAAAGAGGAGGAGATTTGTAAGAGTTTTTCTGAGTACTTTTCGAGGTTGTTCACTGAGTCAGCCGATTGGCGCCCTTTGCTGGATGGGCTTCAATTTGATTCTATTTTGGGTAAGGAATGCTCTATTTTAGAGGAGCCTTTTTCCGAAGAGGAAGTTCTCTCTGCTCTGAAGAGCTGTAATGGGGATAAAGCTCCTGGTCCTGATGGTTTTTCTATGAGGTTCCTTTTGGAGTGTTGGGAGGTGGTCCGTGAGGAGGTGATGGCCTCTTTTCATGCCTTCCATGTGCAGGACTCTTTTGAGAAATGTTTGAATGCAACTTTTATAGCTCTTATTCCGAAGAAGGGAGAGGCAATGGATGTTAGAGACTTTCGCCCTATCAGTTTGGTGGGATGTTTTTACAAGTTAATTGCGAAAGTTTTGGCCTCTAGGTTGAAGAAGGTGATGGATGGTGTCATTTCTGAATGTCAGCAGATTCTGGATTCAGTTCTTATTGCTAGTGAATGTGTTGATTCCCGCTTGAGTAGTGGTGTTCCGGGTGTTCTTTGCAAGCTAGATATTGAAAAGGCATATGATCATGTGAGCTGGAGTTTCCTTCTCTATCTGTTAGAGAGGATGGGTTTTGGTGGGCGGTGGAGGAGATGGATTCTTTTCTGCATTTCTAGCGCTCGTTTCTCTGTCCTTGTGAATGGAGCGCCAACGGGTTTTTTCTCTAGCTCGAGGGGTTTGAGACAAGGGGATCCGCTTTCCCCTTTCCTGTTCCTTTTTGTGATGGAGGCTCTTAGTAGATTGTTGACGAGGGCTGTGGAGCTGGGTTTTTTGAGTGGATTTCGGGTGGGCAGGGATGTTGCTAGTCAATTGGAGGTTTCTCATTTGATGTTTGCAAATGACACTATTGTGTTTTGTGATGCGGATGCGTCCCAGCTGACGTATTTGAGATGCGTTTTAATTTGGTTTCAAGTTGTTTCTGGCCTTAAGGTTAATGTAAGCAAGAGTCTTCTTGTGCCTGTTGGGGATGTTCCTGGGATTGAGTTGTTTGCTCAGATCCTTGGATGTTGCACTGGCTCCTTTCCCATTTCTTATTTAGGTTTGCCTTTGGGAGCCCCTTCCAGATGTGTGGGGAGTTATGATCCGATTGTGGACAGATTCGAGAGGAGATTGGCGGGTTGGAAAAAGCAGTACTTGTCTAAAGGGGGTCGAGTTACCCTGATTAAGAGCACTCTTTCTAGCCTTCCTACATACTTCATATCTCTGTTTCAGATCCCTTCTTCAGTGGCTGAGAGAATTGAAAGATTGCAGTGTAATTTTCTTTTGGGGGGAGGAAGGAGAAGAGTTCAAGTTTCACCTGATTCGGTGGGATCAAGTGTGTCGTCCAATTCAGTTTGGAGGCTTAGGGTTAAGGAGGTTGTTGCCTTTTAATAAGGCTCTCCTTGGTAAATGACTCTGGAGGTTTGGAATCGAGAGGCATTGGTTATGGAGGAGAGTTATTGCCAGCAAGTTTGGGGAAGGTCGTGGGGGGTGGTGCTCTCGGGCGATGCGTGGTCCAAGGGGAGTGGGAGTATGGAACTTCATTCGAAGGGGTTGGGATGACTTCTGCAAGCATGTTCGTTTTCGCATTAAAGATGGAAGGAGGATCAGTTTTTGGAAGGATCTCTGGTGTGAGGAGCTCCCTCTTGCTCTCGCTTTCCCACGGCTCTATAGGATTGCTTCTCACTGACAGGCCATGGTTGTTGAATATTATCATCTTGATAACAGGAGACTGACTTGGGATGTTCAGTTCAGGAGGCATTTTCAAGATTGGGAGATCGAGGATGTTTCTCATTTTCTGGAGCTTTTGTATAACCAGGTGATTTCTTTTGGGGAGCCAAATGGGTGGCTATGGATTCCTAACTCGCTAGGCCGGTTTGAGGTCAGGTCCTTCTTTAGATGTCTTTCGGATGGTCAAGGTGAACTTTTTCCCTAGAAGTCTATTTGGCGTTCTAAGGCTCCCCGCAAGGTCGCCTTTTTTGCTTGGACCTCTGTCCTGGGTAAGATTTTAACCCAGGATAATTTGAGGAGGAGGAATCAGGTGGTGGTCAATCATTGTTATATGTGCTTGCAATGAGGAATCAGTTGATCACCTCTTTTTACATTGCAGTATGGCCAGAGACTGCTGGGATTTGATGCTTCGTTTATTTGGGGTCCATTGGGCCATGCCTTTTTCCTCTAGAGGGTTGATTGAAGCTTGGAGAGGCGTCTCTGTTGGGGTTGGTGTTAAGGATGCCTGGAGGGCTACGCCGCTTTGTATCTGGTGGTGTATTTGGCTCGAGAGAAATAGGAGATATTTTGATGGGAAAAAGAAGCCTATTTCTATGCTTAAGTTCTCTGTTATTTCTACTCTTTTTTGTTGGGTTTCAGGGAGAGATTATAGATCTATGGAGGAAATCATTGTTTTCTTGGCTTCTTTGAAGGTCTAAGGCACCTTTTGGCCCTTTTTGTTTTCTTTGGGCTTCGCTCCCCTTTTGAGCGCTTTTAATAAATTCTTACTTATCAAAAAAAAAAAGTTAATGTCATACATTGATATATCAACATAAAAAACCATATAAAGTGGCTAGAAAAGCAACACAAGTTGATACACCTATCATATGCTATCATAAATTGTCACAGGTTCTCCCATTTCACACGGTGTGACATAAAAATAGAATGGGAAAACACATAAATTTAGGGCAGTTAAGGACTATGACGTAACAAAATGAATACAGACATTGTTATTAAATCCATAACTATTCACTCTTGCCAAGCATGTAGAAACCACACTTACTGTTTAAGTCACCAGCGAGAAGGAAGTAAGCATGCAAACTATGGACAACCTTGAGATAATCAACAGTTTTTGATGCTGCAGCCAGTGCCTGCATATTGGGGAGCATTTTGAATTATAAAGCAAGCAAGGAAATTCCTAGTAACAGGAATTCTACATATCAATCTTGTTTAAGAGTTGACAGTTAAGAGAATAATCATAAAGCATAAGGAAACGGGCAAGCTATATGTTTTGCAATCAGTAAGTCAACGATTGTAGGATTAATTTCCATGTGCTGGACAAAGCAATCAATGTTGACGTGTTATGAAGAATACAAAAATCAAGAATGTAGAAACTCAAACATCATGTGGTCCGTCAAATTGAGATTCTAAACTGAAACAGAAGTGGTTAGAAAGAGGTGCTTTCTGGTTGAAAGAAATCCAAGTCGAAATAATAGAATAATAAGGAAGAGCCCAGATAAATTCAGTGCTTCCGTGCTTTTTTGAGATTTTCCACAAAAACTTTAAAACTTTGAGATTTTGCTTTAACGATAACTGAAAGGAATTTTCAGCAGACACCACTAAACACACCAGGTAAATCTACAAAGTAATAAGAGAGAAGAAAAACGAAATCAGCGTCACAATATTAAAATATTTCTGAATATATTGCAGGATGCAGTAAGTGCATTAGCATGGTTTATTATGTATGTCCTCGTGCACACAAATACATTATAGGACACCATTCTTCTCTATATACAAACTACAATTGTATGCCACAATCTTCATCATAACTAAATTTCATTCAGAAGCATGTCAGTGGTACAAACTTGTAAAATAAAAGAAGCATAATCATGCCTGTGCAATAAATTGTCCACCAAACACCTTTCCAAAATGTGGAGCATCTGGCAAGGTAATCCCTTGGAAAATATTCACCTTCAAGCAAACACAAAGTAAATTTTAGCATGAACAAAAATATTCATTTCTTCCAAAGACCAATATAAAAATAAAAATAAAAAAAATATTACTTCAGACCATTCAGGGGGAAAAAAATACTTCAGCCACAATGATCTGTAGGAAAACCAAAATATGAAAATACAGAGGATTCATCAACTTCCTCCCAGCCCCTTCATTCCCATGGGAGGAAAGGAGAAAGAAAAAAAAAAAAAAAAAAAATGAAGCTTATCATCTCCTAGTACAAAGTAGCACTTCATTAGTGTACTCAAAAACAATCTGCCACTCGATCTTTCACCACCAATCAATGGAGCAAGAGCCCATTAATGGGACCTCAAAATGATATGAGAGAACTGCCAAAGTGCTTTCTTTGTGCCACCGAGAAAGGAAGAAAGATCCATTCATAAATAAGTACAATTGATTAGTCTAATTAATAGGTGGAAAAGGTAGAGCAAAACATAAATTATATTTTAAATAAAGATTTTTTGAATGCAAAACTATAATTACATCTAAAAGACTAAGTTACTTGGACTCTCCTATTCTCCTCAATATACATTTGTCAACATGACACAACATGCTTAAGAACTTAAGGGTACAGGATATATGTTTGACACACATACCCTATTGGACACTTGGATCCTCTGCATTAATGATGGAAGAAGAAGAAGAAGAAGAAAAAACTTGCATTTGATAGCAAAGAAATTGGGATGCGTTCAAAAGGGGAATGCAAAGAACTTGGGATGCGTTCCCATTTTGAATGCTTTCTATTACATTTTTACTTATCAAAAAAAAACTTGCATTTGAAAGAAAAGAAGGGCTTCCTACTTCTGAGATAGATAGAATCCTCCTTTTTTACCTCATCCCATTTAATATAAACTATAATTGAGAATATTAAATAAATAATTTTGAAAAAACATAAAGAATATTTTAGTTAAATTATAATTGGATTTTACCTTTTAGAAGTACTTAATAATATGTTATCAAATGAACATAATGGAGCATTAACAGAAATGCTTCAGTTTGCAGCATTTAATAGAGTTATTTTACCACCCCTAACTATTTAACCATAAAGAAAAAAACATAACTTAAAACTGATATATGAATTTTTGCCTTGTATCTTCCACATATCCCCCTTTTTGTTCCGTCATCGGGTCAGTGAGCTCAATTTAGCTAAGAAAAAAGTATAGAACTTCACAATAAGAGCGGTAAAAGTCAAAAACTTTCAGCATATATGCATAAAATACATTGTGCATGTATTTCATGTACAGTTTACATTCGACATATTTCATTTTCAAATAACTTGTAAGGGTAAATGAGTTTCACTTCCAATTCCGTGGTTTATCTCCGAAGCTATTAAGTAGCATTGGATCAGTACCCACTAAAATTATGACGAAATGTCAAAATCATAGAGAAGTAGAATTACAAAATGCCCATTACTTATGCCCAATGTGAAGTTGAGAAATGCAATGCATGATTTTGCAAGTCATGTGCATTATTAGATGATAGCATCAGAAGGAGGGGGGAAGCATGGAGAAAGGAATCAAGAGTACAACAAGACCACATTCAATTAGTATCTTATGTCAAGAGATGCTATGATGACATGAATTCCTTGGTTCACACAGAAGAATCTAAGTCATCACAAGACCATCAGTAACTACAAATATACAGCTACAGGCACAATAAGCAACCACAGATTCTCCGCGTCCAAATAATACTTGCAAGCTAGAACATAATAGAAGAATTGGACATTTTAAACCATAGAAGCATAGAGACTCAAAATCTCAAGGAAATAAGATATTAGAACATACTTCTATTGGGTCCAAGTGCAATATCTGCTCCACAAATGAACATTTGTCAAGTGTCTTATCTGCATTCCAGATTGATTTTGGCTGCAGCAAATTATGATGCTCATGGGGCAGCACTAAGCAGGTCAGCTGCCATCACAGACAACACATTAGAAGCTTGCTATTGGCATCTACATAAGAACGATTTAGAGGTGTATCCCAAGATTTTCAGACGGAACTCTGAATTCGTACCTTAGACAATGCCATCACATCTGCCTGTTGATCAGATGTTGCCGTACCTGCAGAAGTGTGCGTACTTTATTCTTCTAAAATGATTATCAGGAACAACCCAAGCCTACTAGTTTAATAGTAGTATGCTATAGAAAGAACCATTTTAATTGAATTGTGTATAGCTAAGAACCATTTTAATTGAATTGTGTATAGCTATTTACATATCTTAAGCAGTATATATAGGCACAAAAATGATTACACACAAATATCACAAACATCTAACTTTGTGTGGTCATATGGAAGCAAGCATATTTCCCTTCAAAATCCAATACTAACATCAATGGAACTTCCACACACGAGAATAAACAGAAACTACCACAACAGAATTTTGAGTACATTTAATATATTTATATATGCATGTATATAGGTATATATATCAAAGAAATAATTTCCATGAAAATAAGAACTCCTTTAAACACAGTACTTTCCATCTTATGAAGTAAATGTGAGCTGAAAAGTAGGCTCTTACCATGACCAAAACAGTCATATCGTTTCAACTGGAACTCAGGACGATTGTCGTCATCATCATTGTTCACCGAACTAGAAACTTCAGCCTGTAAACCAAGAAAATCATATGTTATCTCTCACAGCTCCATCACGAGCATTTAAATGGTATGCCATTGCAACATCTGATCAAAGCCAAACTCACCTCCCCTTCCCATATAAAGTAAAGTCCATCCCCAGCTTCCCCTTCACGAAGAATATACTGGCCTTGATCTTCAACACCATACATTCAAACAATCAAATCAATAAAAATAAATAAATAATCCAATAATCCAATAATTCTTGAAATGCCTAAACAAATCACAGCCAAATGGAACAAACACAAACAAAATAATAATAATAATAATGAACAATAATTCATACGAAAATTGAAATAAATGAGAATTGAAATGACCGTAGTGTTTAAAGGCAACCAATTGGGCGATTTTTTTGAGAGAAGATCCTGGGAGTCTCTGAAGGAAAGGAACGCAACTTAAAAATTCGATAACTGCAAATCAAAGAGAGATTAAAAAATAAATAAAAATGTGAGAGAGCCTAATTAAGCTTGTAAAATTGAAGATTGAATGGTGAAGACTAGGTTTTTCACCTGTTTGGGAGTTCATATCTGAGTTTCTCGAGATGTAACCAAATTCACTGTAAGTAATACACTGAAATCATAAAGCAAGTCAAAGCTATGCGCACATATATATATATATATATATATATATATATATATATATTTTGCTCTGAAGTGAGAAAGAAGGAGGGGGAAGAGACCGATCATAGAGTGACAACTTATTGGGATATGAGGTCAATGGGAATTGACCACGTGTGATAAATTTGTTCTGTTTTTTTTTTTTTAAGGTAATGACGTTACATAAAATCTTTTCCAAAAAAACCATTTATTTTTTCGGAAGTTAAGGCCAACAAATCCAAATTTTTATTTTTTCGGAAGTTAAGGCCAACAAATCTTAGGTTTTATTGTTTTTATTTTTGGTAAGTAATTAAATCGTACCTTTTCAGTATAATTCCAAGTTTTGAATCTATTTGATTTTGTATTGAATCTATTTGATTTTGTACTTTATTTTTATTTTTTTATTATTATTATTTTTGTAGTCAGGTAACTCTAGAAATTAATTTAAGACAAACTTAGGACGCATTTTATAAGGACGACGTACCCCGTATACAAATATGACATACCCATATTTTGTTTGAATTGAATAATAATACTCCTCGAATACTCACACCTCAAAATTAGGAAGTATGGGTAGTGATATTAATTTTTACCGCCCCGTCCCGCCCCGTTAATAACGGATATGGAAACACTTTTATACCGTTGGGATGGGCATGAATACAAATTTTGTACCCGTCGCGGATCAAGGGGTGGGTAAGGGTTCAGTATACATATCCTAGGAGCCCCGCCCTGTCCCGCTAAGCATATATATATATATATAAACTTGGTATTAAATTTGCTTTTGTTTTGGTTATGGTGGAAGTTGGAGTTTAGAACTTCTTGTGATTTGGTTGTATTAAACTTTTATTTTTGTTTATTATGTTTTTTAAATTATGTTATGTGCATGTTATTTTTTTTATTTTTTTTGGGATATATAATTTCATTTATGTTGTGCCATTCTCAGGCTTTCCACATTCAAATAGCAGGAGATTAAGTTCTAAAAAGTGGGAGAAAAAACATTTGTTAGCGGGTGCGGGGGCACAGTATTTCCCAACTGAGCGGGGCTGAACATGAAAATCCAACCCGTCGAGATCTTGGGGCGGGCATGGACTTGACAAAAAATTAAAGGGGTGGGGCGGGATTTAGGGAAACCTGCTCCAAACCCGCCCCGTTGCCATCCCTAAGCGTGGATACTTTTCATAGGGACAATGTACTTGTATTGTGTCCAAATCAAATATCAATATTCTTTAGATATTCGCGAATACGCCTCTGATACTTTTTAAAATTAATCCGCAAATTTAAAATATATATTTTAATTTTAACACATCTCCAAGACTATGCTTCTCAAATACTTCAAAATACATTTTTTTACAAGTTTTAAACTTAAAATCTAACTTTTTCAACAAAATATAATATTATTAAAATATGTTTAAAATAGAATAAATGATAAGGTGGATGTTTCAATTTTTGTGAAATGAACACATATATTATATTAATCATTACATTTTTTATTTTTTTGGTAAGGCAAGAAATGTTAGAAATTAGATTAATTAATACAGAGAGTCCAAATTTGGCACTCCAAAGCTCACTTAGATTCATAATCTTTTAAAAACTGACCAATTTTTTATTTTTTTTATTTTTCAAATGTCGTGCTTTTTGGAATCGTTTAAAATAATTAAAATTTAAAATTGTTAAGAGATGCTTTTACTTCTATAACTAACTTGGTAAGCTTTACCACAAAAGAAAAGACAAAAAAACAAAATTCATGAACTTTTGATTAAACATCCTCCGTCTCATGAAATTGAATCGAATGGGTAGAATTGAAAAAAATAATTTAGTTTAATTTTATGTAAATTTGATCTAATCTTTTTATGAACTTTTTAATCCTGCCCTGTTTATTAAGTAAATCCAAACAACCTACCTACTACTTGCCCATGTCAATGAATTAACTTACAAAACCGGTCTGAGTGACTGCAACCATCACAGACCCATCAAAAAATTGGTTTCAATGTATTTGGCTTGGCTTCAACACCAACACAAAAACAAAATCAAACTGGCACACTTCGAAAGGTAAACGATTTTTGGACCGAATCATTTGCACTAGATTGCTAGCCCAACTATTTTTAATTTGCCGTGGGATACTCCATGTACTTATATTTGGCATAAATAACCAATCAAAAACCATTATTGCAAGTCTTCAATGTGAGTTTTTGTTAAATCCAAGTGGAAGACTCACTTTCTTATTTATTGCATAAATGACCAATTAAAAACAGTAGGTCTAACCCTTCACTCTGTATAAAAATCATTTTCCATAGAAATTTCATCAAATTCATAACAACCCCTAACACCCCATATTTAATGAGCGACAAAATTTGCAGGGCATTTATAACACATAAGTAAACACAAATAATAAACAAGTGTATCGAATTGTTTAGCAAAGATGTGAACTAATCAAATTTCAAGACAAAAAGTAGCAGATTTTTAAAACTCAGATGCAAATAACTAATGCTGTCTTAAATGGTAGAGAATTGAACAAAAACTTAATTGCAATCTTCCAGGCTACAGTTTAACAAGGCAAGGAGCTTGACAAAACATCTATAACTAATAATCTCTTTCACCAAGACAACTCCAAGTAGAGATCCATCGCAATGACTCACTTCTTCTTCTCTCCACCTCCAGCAGACCTATTTATAAAGCACAACAACAAATTTGAATAATTCATTAAGCAACTAACAACCAAAAGAGACTGGCTTATTCAGGGTTTTGGGTGAGCAGAACAGTTTACTGCAGTTGATCAGTGTCTATATAATGTACAAGACATGCAGTTTGCTAATTACCTCATCTTACGAAGAACATTGGACATCTCCTCACGCTTCTTCTTTGCCCTCTTATGAGTGCCCAACTTTCTCTTTGCCACTTTAAGCGCTCGTTTGTCTTTCCCAACTTTAAGAAGTTCAGTGATTCTCTTCTCATAGGGAGCAAAACCAGCAACCTCCCTTATGAGATTTCTTACAAAATGAACTCTTTTACTTGTTTTCTGAAAGAGAATGTATAAAAACATAAAAAAAATTATAATTCTCACACAATGCATCAAATAATAAATTGTTGTCAATCCATCAGGAACTGGAGACCTACTGCCTTGAGAAAGGTAAGTGAACAATAAAAATACTGTAGATAGCATAAAAACGGCGCAAATTGGAAATGCACAACTAAACATACTTGCAAGACAGAGAACCAACTTAAATTCTCACACATCAGCAAAAAGATGCATGAAATGATATATTGTTGTCAAGTCAATTCCATTGTAAGAAGATGCCACAGGCACCTCAAAGAGTCCTACTTACATAAGAGAAAGGCAAGAGAATAACCAAGATGCTGAACACGTGATAAAAATGTTGCTAGTTGCAATTGAAAAAGGAAAAAAACAAAATTTAAGTAGTTAGAAAAAAACAAGGATGTCTAAGAAAACTTACCCCCTTTCTATCAGAGGGGCGTGCAATCTTTTCCTTCTTGGTTACAACATGCCCTTTGTTTAGACCCACAAAGAGGCCAGTGTTTGGCTGTTTCGGAGCCATCACCTGAAACCCAACACACTACACTGTTCAATTTAGAATAAAGTCTGGAGAACAAGTTACAGAACTTGATTAATAAATTTAAATAACAATGATTTGCAACTGAACACTCCCCGACAAATAAAAGTAAAGAGGAGCACCAACACTTGAGAGATTGTATAGTCATTGACCACAAATGGGAAGGCATTAGACAACAGGAGCATTCAAATTCCATCTCAAAGCATCTTATCAGTTTGTAAAAATTCACTAAAAGCTTGTATGCATAACATGAAAGGCTATAAAAGAAAAGAGAGAACACCATTTAACAAAAGAAAATAAAGAGTCAAAGGAAAACATTTTTTTTATAAGTAAATCAAAAGGAAGCATCATTTCAATAAACATAAAAAAATATTAAACTACCGACCTATTTTTAATTCAAAACAAACTATTAATTTATAAAAATATTTCAGCAATACCAAACAATATAAGGCCGCAATGAGCTCGACCAAAAAACAGGACATTTTTAGGCAATGTTGGATATAATTGTGTAAATCTTCCATCAATTAACAATTATTCATATTCAACTGAAACCAAAAAATTCTTTAACAAAAGGCCAAACATTAATTCCATCTATTAGAGAATCAAATGGGGAAGCTCAGATCATGGCCAATCGACCACTAAACACTAACGCAAGGTAAAAATCTAATCCAATATGGTGCATATATGTCACCTTGAAAAAAAAAAAGAAAAAAAAAAAGAGAAGAGAAACATGAGCGATTGGACATCAACTGGAACACATAGTTCAACACTGAATGAACAGGGGACACAACCAATCAAGACCAAACTATTATAACCGTTTGGTTGCCAAGAAAACCCTAGAACATGAAGGGAAATATTGATTTGACTAAATCTAATACAAAAATAAGCTCCAGCAAGCAAAATAATTATATTTGTTTCAGTTAATCGATACGAGATGTCGGAAAAAAAAAAAAAGGCAGAGTTTTCTTACCGATCAGTCGAATCTGCGAAAACAGAGAAAAGAAATGAGAAGTTAGGACTTTATATATAACAAAATGGGTTAGGGTTTTGGGATCAGTTTTTCTTACCTTCGGAGAAGAGAGAGGCTGTAGTAGTAAGAGAGAAATTAGGGTTAGGGTTTTGTGTTCTATTTATACGCGAGCGAGGGTACGGAGCCCTTGTGGCGGAGAGCATTTAGGAAGGCTGGGAATAATGGAAAAGGATGAAGGGTAAGGTTGGCATTTGGCATGTTGGGTTCTGAAATGACGAGAATGCCCATCTCACGCCTCATCGTTACCGTCGTTATATTTTTCTATTCAATTTTAAATATATATATGTATATTTAAAATATACCCCCTCTTTTTCTCTCTTTTTCTAGTACTAATTTGGTTGTTTTCTGCACTTTTTTTTTTTTATGTTTTTTTTAACACTTTACCCTTCTTAAAATGATTTATTAAAAAATCAACAATCTTTTACAATATGCTCAAAAAATTATTTTAAATTATTTTCTTTTCCAAAAAATTAAATAACTAAACAAGCTCTTTTTCTCATTTTTCCCTTTTTCTTTAGAATAGTATGTATATCAACCCAACAACACACGCATCATTCAAGTCACGAATGCAATTTTAAAATGAGACTTTAAAGATTTACCTCCCAAATCACTATTAACGCCGTTATTTCTCCATGTATATGTTTGGTGTATATATTTTATTACATACAAATAAAAAAGATACGAGAAAATGATATATGCCTCGCATGGGTTGAAAGAAAAATTAAAATCCCTCGCATGGGTTGAAAGAAAAATTAAAATGATATATGCCATGCATTATTCCGTCCGTCTCCCTCTTCACATATTAGAGTTCAGCGACATATAATCATTTGTAACTAGATAAAATTATATTCTGAATACATATATAAATGGTTGAAAGAAGAATGCATTTTCATAGGAAAATATTTTCATGTATAAATAGTTTAATTTTGAATCCAAAATGGTCAGTTGTACAAAAGAAATTTCCTAGAACCACATGGGTTATACAACAACTATTAATTCAAAATAATTCCTTCCACTTGGGATGGGGAATGTGAAAAAAATAAAATTTTTGCACAAACAAATACTTGCTACTGCACAAATACACCTATGTTACCTGTAAAATATACCGCCGTCTTCAAATCCGGCCAGTCGGCACCGCCCTACCTACTTTCAGCCACTTTGCAACATGTAGAGCTTAGACAAAAAACTTCCCTTCGTTCATGCTCTCACTGATGAATTAACAATTATTTTTTAAAATGCATCTTCAGATATTCGGCCAGATTAACATGCATGGTATAGTAAGTTAGCAGACACTGCAAAAATCGGTTCTACAGAAAATGGCTGCCTTTCTTTTGCCAATTCATTTGCAAAGGCGTGGTATCCAGAGTTTAGACATATAAGTGATCCTCAACAAGCTTCTTGTGCGGAAGAGTAATGGAATTGGAACACATTGGAAATCCTTTCTTCCTTTGAACTATGACTGGATATCAAGAACTGCTTCCCCTACAATAGAATTGAAACAAGTATTAACTACAACTCCAATTCATTTCAAAACCATTATTATATATATATATATATATATATATATATATATATAATAATATTCAAGAAAATGTATGCTTATAATTATATATATACACGCACATATATTAGTCCCACGTACTCCAATTCATTTCAAAACCATTATTATATACATATATATATACACATTCAGGCGAAGGTATGCTTAGGCATTAGAATTATATATATACACACATATATTAGTCCCATATTTAAAAATCTTGTGGCGTTGAATCAATCTTTTATCAAATCTTTTAAAATGTACAATAGCAGCACGTGAATGCTCCATGGAAATGAAATCACTCCATGGTTGAAATCGGGCAACCATGCTGACTAATATTCTAAATTAAATTTTTTAAATGATGTATGCAAAGGGTTGCAAACCCTCTCTACAGAAAAAGAAGTCCACCCATGATATAATTTTCCCGAGCCCCTGTGCCAAAAACAAAAGCAGGGTGATTGTAAGCTACTTGACTAGTCAACAAGGACTCTGGTTGTTTGGAGTTTTTTTGGCCTCACTTATGACCTAGGCAGGCATCAACTTCAGGATGTAGTGTTCATGTGCATATGATTGCCCCTTAATGGTATTTACTTTTGTTTGCGCATCCCTTAAACATTATGGGCAAGCACTTACCCAGAAGGCATCTGCCCAGTCTCAAGGTGAGGCATATAGAAAGTGACTTATTTGTCCCTCAGCACCTCCTATGTGTGATCTAAAGATCCATGCTAAGTGATTCAGACAGTGTATGCAGATTGCACCATCTATGATAAACAAGTTAAGAAGGCTGCCTTACTATGAAGGGCAAGAAAATCGTGTCCTAGATCTGATCTCAATAATCAAACAGAGGAATCAGTTCTCTGTCACAACAAGATGCCACTGATCATCAAATAATATCAATAGACTACAGTTAGTACCACAATTTTAACATTAAAGTCAAAGATTTTCGAATTTACCGTGCATTCTCTTCACAAATCGTTCAAACTCCATGAAGTTGTGTCTTTCCAAGAGAAGTGGGCTGAGCCTGAGGTAGTTAAAAACAGAAAAATGTCTCCCATCGGGATCATTCAAGGGTTTTGCCTTCTCCAATATACTATTATAGCCTCCCCTGTCATGGCAGGGAAGCACATTTTCACTAGCAACTGGTATGCAAACATCCCATGCAGCATTTAGCACCTGAAAATTATAATTTTAATGCTTCAAAACAAAATCTTCAAGCAAAAATCTGCTATACTATTGCACAATAATCCTCCACATTTACTATTTGAACCAACAAACCAATTTCTCCTAAAGAAGACATGTTCTTCTTAACTAAATGACAAACATGTCAATTAAATATTAGAGTTATCAGAAGATTTCTCCAGTGCTAAATGCTTACTTGCCAAGCTAACCCCTCAGGATCTGCCAGTGCCTCGGAGAAGTCCACATGCTGGTCGATGTGGTCGTAGATGCCCAATTCAGCACATGTGAAGTTAAGGGCAACTCCATGCTTCTTTAACAATGCTATAGTTGAAGCATAACCATCACGATTACACGAGTTGTAAATCCCAGCTGTTAATTCAGCAGCATGACTGGCTGTCTTGTACCACCAGTGGATACCTGATAGCTGCTCAGAAATTAAAATAAGGAAAAGAGATTGGATTGAGCCATAACTAGCAAAAAAGAAAACATAATTTCCAGAATAATCTATAATAAACTATATAGATGAACTTAATGAAAATAAATTACCAAAACTTTCCACTTCTCATACTTGATAAACTAGTCAAGATTTTGTGTGCATTACATGTTAAAATACTAACTTATCTAAGACATATCTGCAAATCAAATTTTCATACATTTAAAATAAATTTGAAGTAATTTATTCTACTATTAGGACCTAGAAAAGGGTCAAGATTAAGAATCAATTGGGTGTGACTAAAGAAGTTGACTATGCATTTAAGCAAAGCCTAGGATAATGAAGAGAGAGAGAGAGAGTTAATAGGAATATGATGAAAAATATAATATATTGGTATCATATAATGGCAAGTCCAATTGGCTAAAAAGGTAATATACAAAGAAGTATTAATTATGTCAATAAGTGTGTATATATATGTGGTTCAATTATGACACGCGGATAGCAAAAAATATAATACGTGGACATCAAAAACTACGTGAAAATCCATTAACTTAACGAATCATCTCTTTGATGACAACGTGTATCACAATAATATGAGAAAATATGATGTATCTCGCTGAAGCACATATGACAATCTTACAGTGCGATGCGGCCACATATCTAAGTAAAATTCTAGCGGAAGCAGCTACTGCGATCCTCCCACCATAACATTCAAGAAGGTTCTCAATTACCATTGTCTCAATACTCAAGTATCTGATACACTTGCTGAGTTGGAGGCCATACTAATGGGCTCCTTGAGCTCAGTGTCTGTAATCACCAACATCATGTTATAATCCAGTAAATGAGATGCGACCCTTCCACAGTCTCTTGTAATGCCAGTTATTAACATTATAATTCTTGAACTTGCATTGTAATTCCAGTGATATACTACTATTGCATTGTGTTGGGATCCCAGTGATTACAAATAAAAAAAACAATATGATTCTTGGCATTATGTTCTAATCCTTGTGGTCATGGTATGTGCGTGACACATTTTGGCCCTAGCAGTCATGCTGTGGGCTATGTGCTATGTTGTGACCCCAAGATTATGATGTGGCCACTGGTTGTCATGTCAATCACACTTGTGATAATTGGGTGTTCTTTAATTAAGGGAATATCAAGGAGTGATCTGAACCACTCACGTTGTATCTTCAACTTAAAATAAGGGGAAAATACACGGGCCGCACTGGACTAGGTTATGGTTTATGAAGGGACACACATGTGGCACTTCCTGCGCATTTCATGAGTGAGTTTGAACTAACTGGGCAATGCTGGTACATCCATTCATTCTCCAAATACAACAGAAACAAGAGAGAATAGGGCAATCGTGGCAAGTATTCTTCTCCCATTTACTACATCTCCAATCCTCTCCTCTCAGTAGCCTGTCTTAAATTTTTTCCATTCAGGACCTCTCCCAAAGGCCCTTTTCACCAAACTGTGGAAGTGATTTTTAATCTGTACAAACAAATTGGTGTCTAAAGGCAGCCCGGGCAGGTGTTAAAATGTCCTTCCTGAACTACTCGTTTAATGCTTGTTTTGGTTTTGCCACTTTGTATTCATCTTTTTGATATATTATCTTCATTCCAAATTTCAATTGCATGATATGGTCGCCCCTGGACCACTAAAATATAAAAATGCTGAATTGGATCCTTTTTCCACGTGTTTTTTTTCCTAGTTTTTCCCACATGTTTTTTATAAAAATCCTTTTCCACTTGTTTTAGTCTAAAAACAAAAACATAAGAAGTGTTTTTCTAACTTGAAAGTCTAATAAATATCAAATAATGCTTTTAGGACCCAAGTGAACCATGATGAAGAAACTCGAATATCTAAGGAAAAAGAATGAGGATACATTTATAGCTTCCATCCATTTCTTCACACATCCTAAGTAGCTGGATAAAAATGAAAAAGAAACAAAACAAAGTTGCTTCATGTGAAACAGATACACCTCCATTTAACATGCATAAAGATATGGAAAAGTAGCTCTTAAAATGATTTCACATCCACATAATTTATTTGACAGTGGAATAAAATAAAAATAGATAATATTGGTCTGTAAGCTAAAACATTTAGCAAAGATCTGATTTCATGAGAAAAAACAACGAAATTTGAAAAGCTGACTCACCTTTGCAGCAATGCAAGTGCCATCAAAAGCTAACTTGGCCAGAGAAAGTACCCTATCTCCATGGTCAACCAAAACCTGGGTGTACCAATTGAGAAAGAACCTGCCATAATAGCCATCATAATCACCTCCACCACAAAAAAATCCAGTGTCCTGTGGCCGGGAATTGTAGGAACCTGCATTATCTGGTACTCGTGCCCAAAAGGAGTGTCCCCTTGCTTCAGCTGCCTTCCTAAGGCTTTTCAACAAATATTGATCATAACACTGCAAACACGTCGAGTTGATGCTCAGGATAAATAAAGGGCAAAAAAGAGAAATGAACAGTTTCAGAAGAAAATGACAAGTGGTAGGTGAAGATTCACAAGAAGATACTGGAGGACTAAATGAACAAAGTGTAAAGCAGTGCCATTATCATTTATAATGCATATGTAAGTTCACATAATTAAAATAAGTGTACTAAAACACCATTTGGGGAAAAAATGGATTGGGACAATCAGGTCATCCAAAACCTCAGTCCATCAAATCAGAAATTGTTTCTACGAACTAGGAAAAAAGAAATTGTTTCTACATATCTGGATTCAAAGTCATCATCAATAGCTCAATTCCAGTATATTATGGAAAGCAGGAGAGATGAGGTGAAGAAAGAAAAAATGAATCATGAGAAGGGATTGCCAACCTAAAAGATTCCAGAAAGAGAGTTTTGGCACCATCTCGACCTCTCAAGCCAATTCTCATGTAACCAAGTGAAGAATTACAATGTGTTCTTTCAGTTCTTAATTTTATTCCAACAATGGCTTTCTAGCAATCAACGACAGTTGCAAAAGGATGGTTACCCCAATTTTAGCGATGACTGAGGTTGGATGGCAATCTCTTTACCTCGCAAGGCGAGATGGAGGAGGAAACTTGCACATCAGATGGAACATTTTCTTAGCACTCGACAAGAATCTTCATAACAACCTGCTCCAGTGATTTCTTGGGGCCATCCCCTTGTTACAAAAGGGGAATAAAACACTGAAAACACAAGGAAAAGAGTAGCAGAGAGCCACTGGCATAACTTCATAAGACCTAACCTACAGGCTTATGGCAATCTCTCTCTCTCTCTTTGAGGTAGAAAACTAGACTCCCAACCCCAGCAGCAAAAATAAAATATAAAAAGAAAGAATGAAAAAGAAAGGAATAATACAAAAAAATAAAAAAATAAAAATCAGAAAGGAAAATGTGAAACTTGAATAGGTTAAAATTGCATAATCGGTGGAGGAACTATAGCAAAAATTTAGAAGGCCATTACCGAGTGCTGGTCCAACCAATGTTGGACATTGAGAGGGATTGACTAGATAATTACCTTTTAAAACAACTTACAGAGAGTAACTTCTCTTATAGTCAAACTTGCATTCTCATGCTTGCCAGCCCAAGTTTTTACTATTTTACCAAGCAAAGACTCGTTGACACTAGAATTAAATTATTCAGTAAATTACCTGGAATTCACCAATGCCTGGATATCTCCAACCATGCTTTATAGGAGTAGATGGGTATCGTAGTTCGCCACAAGGACCTAGTCCAACTTCAATCATGGAGATAAAACCATCCTCAAAGAACTCGTCAAATTCAACCCGAAAGCTTCTCATGTAATCAAAGTAAACCTGCATCAGTTTTGCACTATTTGTTTGAGTTGCCATTAAGGAAAAGCATCAGTATTATGCATCAAAGCAGCTCAGGATACAGCTAATCTGTAGATTTGGCAATCGTCAGCCCAAATGAAAATTCAAAGTTAATTGCAAAAGGCAATAAATAGAAAACATGAGAGGAATATTTTTAAAACTAATTCTTTTAGATATTAAAGGAAAAAAATGGTAGTCAGTCCAAAAATGTAGTTCTACAATGATTAAAAACAAATAAATAAATGAAGAAAGAATCTTTAAAAATAAATAAAGAAAATAAAACATGTCATGGTTGCTTTATCTTTAATATTATATGGACAAAAGGATCATGATGAAGAATAACTTCCATGCTAGTCATACACAAGAATGTTGCATGTATACGAAATATGTCTGAAAGTACTACCTCTACAGCAGTCCGCCCCCTTAGAACACGTTCCTTGTCAATCCCCCATGACAAACATTCAGAGTTACGTCTTCCCTCTCTATCTGTGAAAAATATGTCAGGATTGCTTCGACCAATTTCTGCCACCCAATGAGGCAGCGGAATACAAACATCATCACCGACATTGCCTCCACATTCATGGAAGGACATTACAACCTGTTCCAGGTTTAATTCCAAAAAAAAAAAAAAAATGAAATTAGAACAGATTTCTAAAAGGATTTACTTTACATCAACTAAATTCAATAAAAACCAGTTGTTTTTTCCCTATTTTTTCTGTTTGTTCAATATCAAGCTATGGATGTGCTTACACAAACAATTTTAAAAGATTTTTAATGTCAATGCCATCGCAATTCCCAAAAAAAAAAAACTAATTTAGTAAAATGACACCACCTCAGCTCAACAATGATGAAATTTAGTTAGCCATCACTGTGCATTTATTATTGTAAGATTTAACAAATGCATGTTTCCCTAGCTACATTGCCCCATCAACTATGACTATAGTGAATTATGACTCCCACCAAATAATTTATATTCATCACTTCCCACTCAAACCAGGGCTGTCTCCTCTTACCCTGCAACGATTGCAGCTCACCAAATAGTTATTCTACTCAGAAGTTCTTATCTTTTACATAAGTTCAGATATGATAATCAATCCCATACCATGCAATTTGATTCAAGTCCTAATAAGATTCTCAAATCAGTAGAATTTTGCAATTTGGATCCGATCCCCCAATTGTCACATCATTAAGACTACGAACCTTGTAAGCTAACATAGTATCATATACCAAGGGCTTATAGCTTAGCGGTATCTCCTCAACCTCCCAAAGTCAGAGGTGAGGGTTCAAATCCCCACATGGGCTTTGCCAAGAAAAAACATAGTATCATATCAACATAATTTTTTTTGACAAATATCAAAGTGAAAGTATGGTCTGTAACATTGCATCATACCCCATCCCCCACCCACTGGCGGCAGGGGGTGGGTTAGTGGAAACATTAAATATTAGCACAAGCATAACGACATATCCTATACAAAGCTCACCTGTAACTTGAGCTTGAGCTCACGAACAATCTGAAACAGCCTCCTGTAACCATTCCAATTATACTCCTGTGGGGCATGTGCTTCTACTATACCCCACCAGCAAGCAACCATCACCCCATCAACATTAATCGATTTCAAGACCCTTAGTTGCTTTAGTAGGCCATCTGGGTCAACAAGCTCGCACTTCATGTTTATGACACCCAACTGTCACCCAAAAATTGTAACATTATTGATGTTATAAAATTACTTGAAATTAGCATCTTAAATAACAATTAGAATAGATCCGGAAATGGAAACGCATGTACAAAAAGACTTAACACATAAAACTCAACACTTATAAGGCTAAGTACGGAAAGAGAGTCTTGAGATTGATGCATGCCCACAAAGAATATGGTACACATGAAACAGAAATTGTTGGGCCAGACATGAATCAAACAGCTATCAATATATATGTATGTATAATGAGTGAAGACACAATTAAATAGATATAGAGTATTAGTAAAATAAGAAAACTCACTGGTAGCATTACATAAACTGGAACATATGAAGTGCCGGCAAAATCGCGCTCCGGTAACTTTGTGGTCATGCCAACCACCTTGTAGAAAGGTTCAAAACCATACCACATTAGGAACAATTTAAAAGAATTTCAAATGTATAAACAAGTACACTTGAAGATTAAAGCAAGTAATATAAGAATAAAATTGTGTTCCTAAGATATCGGCATGCCCTGAGCTATCATTATGAATAAAGAATTTATGCATCAGGTTATGTGCAACTTGAAAATCATAGACGCGCAGTCATAGGGGAAGTTATTTGAAATCATAGGCAAATCTATAGAGCTCAGTGTTACAATCCAAAATAGGATATGCAAAACATATAAGGTGAGTTTTGGGCTATAACTGATCATAAAATTGTCTTCTATTGTCCCCAAACTTGAGAAATAATAAAGAGGTTCAAAATTTCAGCTTCTGAAACATTATGGAGCTAATCATACCTGTTTGTTATCAACAGTATCCATGGAGCCCCCAACTAGAGGATGATTCTCTATTCCTTCATCTCCCAAGAAACCTGAAGTCTGAGACCGAGCACTTGAGGATACATCATAAGGGGATGAGGTGGGCACAAAAACACTTTTCATGCTAGCATTATACTCCACAAAACTCTGATGGCCAGAAGAGATTCCTTTCATGGAAGCTGGGGGGGGCTGTTCCAGAGACATATGGGAAGATGATGAAGTCACCACTGTAGTAGACATACCACCGGTAGTTCTTGTATCCTGTAGCAGTAAAAGAGAAGACACTTGGGTATCTTGGAAATTCAATTGAAATAGAAGGTTGTACATGGTGCATGTTGATGTGTGTTGCAATCATTTATGCCATTCTCAGGCTTGCGGATGCTGCATGTGTGTGTGTAAAGAGGAAGAGAGGGAGAGAGAGAGATGTGATTGTGATCTGCAGAACCGAGATGATACTCCTGTTTCCATGCAGTGTGGCAACAGGAACAAAGATCCTTCCCAGCTTCCACATTATGCCAGGTGGATATTTACTCCCTCGCACCCGAAGCTGCATTTGTGTATTAGATCAAAGAATTCGTATCCTCTCTCGTAACTGGAACACCAACAATCTTCCTGAGGATCTAGGAAAAACTAGGAAAATGAATAATGACCAAGGGATGCATCTGATCAGTTATACCATAGCTATTAAAGCCGTTTTGGCATTAACCTGGTGACGAGTCAATGGCTCATACATTCAGCCGTTGAGCTAGTCGCTCAAAAAGCATAACATCATAAAAATGTCATTCTAAATTTAAATAATTACGTAATACAGAAAGAAAATCTAGAAATTAAGAAAAGTTGGTATTTTTCACTAGTAATAGAAATCTAGAAATTAAGAAAAGTTGGTACTGTTTCATTATTAATATTGGTACTGTTGCATTTGTGTAATTTTGAGACTAGCTTACTATTCAACTCAGACAAGTGAGAGGTAGCCCAATGGCTGGTTGTTAGTTGCATTCTTGAGGTCGTTGTATCAAGCTCCAATTATTCCAAGAATTTTGAGTTTTTGTGTTATGAAACCCAAGGCACACTCCAGCTGGTTGTCACAGGTTCTCTCCTTAACCATTCAAATTAAACAACCTAGGTCCTGGTTGCAAGGCCAGAAGTCCAATCATCCAGATTGAGTCATTTTCCATAACACTGAGTTAGACCTAACCTAAGTTAACTCAATAGTGCATTAAATTTTCCAACTTCAGAGGTTCAATTGCACTTAACTATTTGCTTACATGAATAAATAAAATGTCCTTTGATCCTCTTTTTCTCCTTCCATGATGTACTCTATTTCACGTCTTACTTTTATCATCTGTAAGGTCAAGAACTGTTATGATGCTTAGGCACCTATGACATATTAGGGGTGCACACGATCCGGTTCGGTATGGTTCCAGGCTAAATCAAAACCGAACCGATTCCAACGGTTCCTAAAAAATTGGAATCGGAACCGTGAAAGACTGATTCGGTTCGGATCTGAACCACCTTTTTTTTTTTTTTAACCTTTCAAAATAATAACTCATTACCAACCACATGGATTTGGCTTATCAAAGCAAATACAAGTTTATACAACAAATGGGCAATAATAAACCTCTCAACCAAGAAATAAAATATATTGGTAACCTAAAAGAAAATGAGCTATTATTCTGATTTTGTGAAACAAATATGAAATTTAGAAGTAGAAAACCATTTGACAGTAGCCTTATCATTTTGTGTAGTCTAAAACATTTTGTTGTGTACTTGTTTTTAGTTTTATCTTTCTGACATATGTTAATATTATTGTTTATTAATGCTGTAATAAATATGTATATTTAATTTATGGTTCGGTTCTAATGGACCTAGAACCAGAACCGTAAACTAACGGTTCCTTATTTTGGAACCGAAACTGTAAAGTAATGGTTACTTAATTATTTTGGAACCGGAACCGAACCGTAAAAGAACCAAACCGAAGCGAAGGTTTGGTTAGGTTCCAAAGGTTTTTTGTGCACCCCTATGACATACCTAAACGTCTAACGATGTTGGTTTTCAATTTGTTTCAAAGTGAACAATTATGCTCACATCTCTTGAGTGTGAATTATGTCCATAATCTGCCACAACTAGAATATAGAAACAAATAAATGCACCAGAGATTTTGAAATAGTATTATCAATTATGTACAATGTGTTGAAATCTTACTAAATACCAAAAATTTAATGTACAGAAGTATTGCCTAAGTTCATACAATCTGTTGAGATAATATAAAAAATAAAGATTTGCCCCTTAAAGATATGTACCTGTGATCTGGAAGGAAAGGTTGTTCCATCAGGAAGGACAACCCAACCAGCTTCCCTCGCCAGAGCCGCAATCACATCGTTAATATCAGCTCTAACCCTTAAATTATAGTTTCCATGCCTTCGAAGCCCTGCCAAGATCTTTGCAGTTATTGCCCTCCGCTGACGCTCTCTCATCTTTGTTCTCTCTTTTTCTTCCATTGGTCTACACCTTCGAGCCCCTTGGGAAGCTGAATGCTCTTGAAATTGCTGGTGACGTTGAAACAGATTGCTACTACTGGTTGCTGCACTTCCTCCATCAATACTTACCATTGTTGGTGTTGCAATATGCTTATCGTCGTCGTCGTCATCACCGTAGTCTTCTTCTTTCACATCCATCCCCATTTCTTCATCATCTTCTTCACTTGTACCGAATCTCTGTATCTCTGTCGCCATAATTACCCCTTCCCTTCTCTCTCTGTAATGCAGAACTCTTACAACCCTATATATTATGAACTTCTTAAAATTTTCCAAGTAAATGAAAACATGAATGGAAAATTCACTCTAGAGTTCTTTGGTAACAGCATGAACTTCAAAAAATCATATCTCAAATTTAACACATCAAGAACACCCCCCACCCGGCCATCCAACCAACCCCAAAAAAGAACAATTAAAAAAAAATCATTAAAAAGCAAATGTATCACAACTTTAGGCATCATATAGTCAGCATTTCAAAAGTACATTTCTTGCTTTCAAAGGCAAAATTAGCATCAATAAATTAAACATAATCTCAATCGTATTGTTGTAGCTTGAGCAAAATATAGACAAAGAGTTTATTTAGCGAAAAAATATATATAGACAAAGAGTCACTGAAGTAATCTATCTTAGAATCGTTTCAAATCACAATATTGTATCAGCTTAAAGCCTTAAAAACGCATACACACACAAAATCCACCTTTTTTCTTAGTTCTTAGTTCTTAGTTCTTACATCTTTCGGGCAACAATTTTTAAAAAATATGAACCATATCTTACATTAAGCAGACCAGTAAAATCATAAAATATATAGAAAAGAAAAGGAATTTTTGTAGCAAAAAAACTGTTATCCAGTTACCTAGAAGTGTCAGGTTAACAAAGTATAATTTCCGAGTCTTTTACAATCTGAGACAGCGAAATCTTGAAAGTCGCCGTTTTCTCTGCAACTTCCCATGTCCTTTCTTCAGCCAAAGCTCATACATACAAACGTATATATGTGTAGTGTTTTGACGTTCTGCATATGAAGCTTTTGAAGAACGAATCTCAATTTTCTCTTCCGAAACCTAACTCTAAAATTCAATATTTGATGAGAAAGAACAGATCTGTATATGGCGTCGCTTCGCCGAAAGAGAGAATGTTCCGGGGAATATACCGAAGCGGAGTAACCGGAAAGAACCGAATGAAACCGGAAGGAGAGAATGCCGAAGCTCCGGCGAGAGTGGAACGGCGGATAGAGTAGGACAGTGATGGGGTTCAGGGATTACCGGCGAAGAGGGGAGAGAGATCGGAGGCGTGTGCGAGCGTGCGAGGGCTAGGGTTTCTCACGCGTGTGCAGGTTGCATACGTGCCTCAGTTTATGGGTTGGCACGGTTGAGGCGTGTACGGACCGTGAGAGTCACGCGTTTGGCACGTGCCGAAGAGGCAGCCCCGCTGCTCACGTAAAGCTTGGGCCTTGGGGGAAAATGAAACCAAATGTAAATTGAGTCCAAGTTTCGAAAACAGACGACTACTTGGGACACAGGTTTTTTTTTTTTTGCTTACTTTTATATCTTTGTATAAATACTAAATGCAAATCGTTAGAATTTCACATTTCATCTAATGTTATTTTGGGAGCATAAGTTTGTGGCTTGAATTTGAAATTATAAAAATTTTAATTAAATTTTGGATTAATTACGCTTACACTCCTTGAGCTTGAGGTTTGTTGTATTAACAGTCATTAATTGTAACAAAATATCATAAATGCAAAATGACCAAAACACCCCTATATATACTCTTTATTATTTAATTTATTTAGTACTTTCTCTCTCTAACTATCAGTCCCCTCGCCCTGCTCAACCAGAAGACCAGGTAGTGCACAACAGTTGCGATTTGGCACACACAAATCAGCCACAGCATGCTCGGAGTAGTGTGACTTGGCGATGATCCGATCGAAAAGCTCACTGACGGCACTAAGCTCCGTCACCAATTTGTTGAGACCATTGAATGGTGGAGATGGTGAGGGGACGGAATCACCAGCTCCGCCGGCGGCGTCGAGGCGGAGTTGATTTGGGGAGGAAGAATCTTGAAGATTCATGCGAATAATCTGGCTATATATAAATATACGTGTGTGTCTATATATATATATGTGCTTATACATAAGGAGGAGTGAAATTGGTTTGGATATATATATATATATATATATATATATATCTCTCTATCTTTATATAAAAGGAAGCTGTATCTCTCACTCGATTTTAGTGATCCGAACAGAAATGTGAGAATTCAATTTTTTCTTTCCTACTTTTTCGTTTTGGTTCTGGTGTTAGTCTATGTTTATTTTGCTTGATTATAGGGTTTATTCTTTCTCTGTGCATATATATGCTTGGTAGAAGTTATCTTTCCCTAAATTACATTCCCTAATCTGATTGATTTTCAATTTATTTCCTAATTAATTAGAAATTTGTTATATATTGTGAGTTTTGAGTGCAGCCAAGTCATCATCTTTGTGGTGGAGGTAGGGATGTTTATCTCCCTAATCTGGTGTTCGTCTATGTTTATCTTTGTGCCGGCATGTGTGAAATTGTGTTTTTCTATTATTTGACTAGCATCTTTGTTAGGAAGTAATATTTTATATTACATGATTTACATCATATTGTTTAATTTTCTTTTTCTTTTTTATCTATAGATTGTTTGTGGTGTGGATGAATGTGGGTTGGGGTGGAGTTTGGTGTTCAAGGTGGTCAGATTTGTATATATGGGTGTCAGAGTATATATATACTTATAGAGAGATCAAATGTAAAGTTTTGATGATATTGGATTTCTTTGGTAACAATTTGCTGGATTTCTTTTAAATTTCTCATGAATTTGGAATACAGCCACTTGATCCAGGTCGTTTGATCCATTAGTACATGTATATATGTGTGTGTGTGTATATATATATATATATATATAGATTGGTATATATATATTATAGTTTAGGTTACGAATTGCAATTTTATTCGTTACAATATATATATATATGTGTGTGTGTGTGTATTGCTTTGTAACCAGTAAAGAAGAGGTGGTGGTGGTGGCGGCAGCATTGTGGATGGGTGCTTGATATGTTAGAAAGGGTTAGTGTTGTCCAATAAATTAATTTGTAAAAAAGGTTAAAAAAGTAATTTCATGATTTAAATAGGTCCATTAATAAGTCAAAGAGTAATAATGTCAATTCATTGTGACAAGGGTGTCTTTGTCAAATTTATCAAACCTGAGGGGATGCCATTGTTAAAAAATGAACTAACTTTCATCTGGTTGTTAATAAGGTAAACTTCAGATGGTGTGAGTGTAATTAACCCTTAAATTTTCTTCTATACTAAATTCAAGTAATTTATTCAATACTCCCAAAAGCAATATAAATTATTTAAGTGTTATGATCAGAAACTATAAATAGGTTGATTTTAAGAAAAACAATTTATCCGATCAAACTCAATCTAATAAGAATTTTTAGTTATTTTAAGTAATGAGATTAAAATATAAAAAAAATGGTAAAAGTAACTAAAAAAAATATAAGAATATTAACAACTCGTTTAGAATGGTTGTTAGATGAAAACGCTTTTAACAGCTGTAATAAAATTATTATTAGTAAAAAACATGTTTGGTAATGTATTTTATAAAGTACTTAAAAGTACATTTAAATTTATTTGTTAATAATGTTATTTAAAGTGTTTTTATTAAAATTTACTATATTAGACATACACTAATAATAATGTTGTATGATATTAATGTGAGTGATTCATTTTCATGGCATGTGGGTTAAGATTGCATGATTATTGATTATAGAAATAATTTCAACACATGTTATAACTGAAAAATATGATTCATCATTTAAAATTTTCACTCTAAGTATGTGTGTCAATGCGTGTGCTTATTAGATACAATGAGAATAATGTCAATGATGTTTATAAAGAAAAATGAGTGATTAAATTGTAAAAATAAATAATAAATAAATAAAACCTATCTAATAAAGACCCATATGGCCAGAAGCATAGAAGAGTGGAAGAGAAAAGGAATAGAAAAAATTGTGAGATAAATTAGTCGGAGCAAGGATGGTGATAAGTAGCTTCCCTTTAACCAAAAAAAAAAAAAAAAAAAAAAAGAAGAAGAAGAAGAAGAAGAAGAAGAAGAAGAAGGATGGTGATAATAGTGATGAAATATCTTACAATTGCGATCATTGAACATATGGTAGTAAGGTTCTAAACACTGCAATTAAATTGTTGAGTCAGACCAATTGTTATATAACCCATACAAACACAAAAATAAAAGTAATAATTGAAAATTTAATAAAACAATAAATAAGATAAAAAATAAAAAAACACAAACAAATTAATAAAATAAAAATTTAGATTCTTCAATCATCCATTTTTATTAATATCCAAAACTAACTTCATATAGAATTCTTATAAAAGCATTCCAATACATTTAAGAGATATGCAAATCCAGTTTGTGAAAATGAAATATATATATATAGAAAGAGTTTGTTTATGTATTATTCTAACTAATATTTATTTTTTAATAAAAAAAGTTATGGAAAGAATCATATATGAGATGAAATTTTAAGATAATAAGAACATATCTAGCCGTCTATTAAAATATTTTTTTTGTGTATAATATACAGTGCCATGTATGATATTGTAAATTTTTTTTATTTCTAGCAATCTGTTAAAATATGCTAGGACATCACCAATGTGTAAAATTGTTGTGCATTTTACATTACTTTTTAACACAGCCATATCACCATATTTTCTTTATCTTCCCTCTTTCTCCTTTCATTAACAAATCAACCCTTTAGATAGATTTATAAAAATTATGTGGGATCTAAACATGACATTGGTTGATTGTTATTGGGGGATATATTTTTACACAAAATGTATAAAACAACCACTGGAGCTAAAAATAAATAATTTAGATTTTTTGTGAAAATCTATAACACATCATATTTACAAAAATATATATATAAATTAAAAATAAAAATTTATACACAACGGTTGTAGATGCTCTAAGGTTATAGAAAGAATCGTGCTTGAGTTGGAAAGAATTGTGTTTGAGTTGAAATTTTAGAATAACTGCATTAGATTTTTATTTGAATTGGTTTTTATAGAGGTTTTGTAATAGTCAATTAAATCGTTTTTCTTTTGTTTTATCACCCTAAATAATCTCCATAATAGTTTTCATTTTCTGAGATACTTGTATAAATAATTTAATTTTTTGCCGCAATTATGACGGTCATTTTGGATCTTGGATTTAACTTAAAACCAATTAAAAAAATAAAAATAATAATAATCTAGAATTGGATCATCCCTCATAAGAATATTTTTGTCTTCTTGGTCATGCACATTAATCTTTATGCTGATTTTTGAGAGACACAACACAACAATAAAAAAGTTTATGATCAACATACCCGTGATTATATATAATAAAACTACTGTACGTGCATTATAAGTAGGCAAAAGAGCCACCAAAAAAATAAAAATCCTTGAAGTACAGAGTTGTTGTAAAATGTCCTTTTAAATTATTTTTGGGAGTAAGTTGCACCCCTCAATTATACAAATGTTGCATATTGCCCTCTTATAACTTACCGGAGTGTCCTTTCCGGCGGTCTGAAGGACACAATTACTAAACAACCCCTCACTTATTAATTTATTATTAAACTAATTAAATATCATACGTGTAAAATATCTATAATACCCTCTGTTAATTAAGTTAACAAATTTGATATTTACGGGTGTAGTTATTAGAGAGAGAGAAAATGAGGTTTTCGTTTCACTTGATTGTGTGTATCTATAATATTTTCCAAGTTTTTGAAAGGATTGCACTTGATGGTGTGTATCATCTATAATTGTGGATTCACTTCAAGCGCATGTGAAATTTTTGCTTCAATCTGTAAGTATATGTTGTATTACAACCTCTTATTTTGTTGATTTGCTGGTTATTAGAGATTTGCTTGGATTGGATTTAAGAATAGAATATTTTAAAGTATTATATGCCACTTTTTTTAACTTTTTGCAAAAGATTTTCGTACAAGATTATTTTCCGCCTAATGGAACACACTCAAAGACTTTCTAATGGATACTGAAATGAGAATAAACAAATAGGTTTGTTCCCTATAAATGGCTATAGAAAAATGTTGTTTGTTTGTTTTCCCTCTTATCCCCCTACATTCATTTAACAGTCAAGCCTTACGCAATGAATCAGTAAGCATTCGTAGCATTCCCCACCCAAGAGGGCTTATGTAATAGGGAAATTTGAACTCAATAGTTTTAATCAGAGCATTTGATGTATGAGATATATCATATATGTTTGTATAAATATATAGTGAATCGATTTCATTTGTGAAGTGGTACACCTTCTGAACTGTCAATCGAATTAGCATTGTATAGAACAAATTGTGCATTGCCATTAATTTGTGAATCTTCCGTAAAGATTTAAACTTTAAAAAAAAAAAAAAAAAAAAGATTAATTATTAATTCAATTATAAGCAAACTAGTTAAAATAGGAGATCAGACAAATGTGG